TCTGAAAGAATGCCTACACAGAGCCTGAGATCGTCATCAGAGGTCCTGCTCCAGGAGCCATCTCTAAAGGAAGCTAGGAGGATGGCTACCTGAGGCCTTCTCAGTTGTGGCACCCCATCTATGAAATTGACCTCCGTTGTTTTTATATTCTGGCACCAGACTAAGACATTTTTATTCAAGGAGCATTTTAATTGTTGAAAATTAAATCATTATATTTTAATGTAAATTTTAGCTTTCTTAATTTGAGATAGTTCCAATCTTTTGTTAAACTATTAGCTAGAAAGATGTTTTTTATCATGTGAAGCAGTGGTTTTCAACCACCAGTCTGCAAACCAGCACTGGTCCATGGAAGATTTCCTGCCAGTCCATGGGGGGACCACATCCTACTCACTGTGGACCAGCACAGAGGCTGGCTGTGCTCAATCACCTCTTGCTCAGTTGGCATTGCATTCATGGGGGGGGGGGGGGCACCAGTGCCACAGGGTGGCGGGGGGAGATACAGCTCGGTGGGAGTCATGCTGCACCGATTTTGGTATTTTTTTATTTTCTTGGCATTTTTTGTTGCTTGGTTTTGGGTTGTTTTGGAGAATTTTCATTTTTTGGTGTTGTGTTTGGAAATGAATACACAGAAAACTGTATCATGTGTACGGTGCTTTTTGTTTCTGCTTCAGCGGTCCGTGAAGTGGTTTTCCTGTTTTTGCCTGTCCGCATCTGTGGAAAGGTTGAAAACCACTGATGTAAATTATCTAGAGAGCCATGTGACTATGAGATTGTATACAAAAGTGTTGATTGATTGGAGGGTTTTGTTCTTTTTCAAGGAGGCTGCTATTTAGGCCACAGTCCTATTGTGATGACTGCAAGGCGCCAGACTCAAAGACTTGCTGGAGGAAGACTTCTTCCCATCCTATGGATAGTGGGAGGAACAGTAGATGCACTTTTCCCCTCTCTGCCTTCCCACCCTGCATTTGTGCTAAATAGGGTCCTTGCCCATCTAGTGACAGTGCTTCAAAGGATGGCACCTATTCTTTCGCCTGTTGAGTCTCCTCCCCTTCCCACTGGAATGTGCCTTCCCCAAGGCCATGCTGCCAGCCTTGGGGAGCAGCCACTGTGGTTCTTTCTAAACCAGGTGCAGCGATGGCAGAGCTCCAGGTCCCACCCCAAGGTCAGAGCACCGTCCTCAACCTTGGATCTGGGAGTCTGAAATATCCCATGGGCCTTCAGATGCTACCTACCTTGATCCTGACTGTATCCAAATACTGGACTTGGATTGTTGATTTGCATCTTGCTCTACTCTGAAAATGGAAATGACATGTGTGCCTTTGAGTGAAAGTCAACCATTAAAGCTTCCAGTTTCACAGTACTCTGAGTGAGATTTCTATTGAATTTCATACCTTTTCCCCAGAGAGTCTTTGGCAGGGCAATCCTGTGGTCAGTAGAAGCTCAGGAGAAAGCTATAGTGGGGATTTCCATCTGTCGCTGCCGCTATGAAATCTCTGTGTTAACACCTCTTCCAATATTGCAGCAACTTGCTAGCAGGGCCTAGCATGGTCTCTGAGGTTAGAGGCTTCCCTGCTCTTAAACCTGATACTATACTGTTCAAATGATCTCCTGAAGTAGAAGACTTTCTTAATATGTGTATACTTCTACCACTGATGTATTTTACCTAGCAAGTACTAGTTGTGAAGGGATCATTATATAGCCTCATTTCATAAACAATACACATTCCAATGAAAGAATTAAGCTGATACTTGCTTTTAAATGTTAGAAGGGCATGTTCATGGTATATTGATTAAAGATTAAATATTGCCATATTATTTTGACCATTTGATTAAATTTTAAAATATATATGTAGACAGATTTTAAAATATGAAACATTTCAATATAAAACACTAGTTGCACTCACAAATAGGATTGTGCAATAAGCTGAGCCAAAATAATCATGAGCAGGTCAAACCACAATGAAGGAAACATGGATTAACAGTTTGCACCTGTATTTAACCACAAATGTTCATGATCATGGCTTGTTTCATCTCATCCTTTACATTAGTATTGGGTACTGGACACCTCATGCTCCAAGGCATGGAGGAAATCAGCCATCCAAGTATTTTGCTGGGTGGGAGGTGCAAAGGGGACACTTTTCAGCCCCACATGACTTCAGCCCTAAGTGGACAGACTTGCACCCTAAGTGGTATTGCGGTTTACTCTTACTTGTGACTGCAGGGGGAATCTTATACTGAAACATTTTACTTTTTAAAATCTTTTTATCTGTTTTTTGAATTCAATCAATACATTTTATATGATTTTTTTAAATCTAGAAATTCTGAGTGGGATGTGCAACTGGTGCTTGTGGTGTGCATTACATCATGACTGCCCTTCAGAACTACTGGAATCATACTGTATGTTGGCATTTAATTTTCTCAAGTGCTGTTTCACAAGATCTGAGTCTTTGTATACTGTATTAGCATGTAGAAGTCTCTTTGGCTTGAGGAATTTGGGGTTGGTGTTTTATTGTCATCATTTAAATAAAATGGCTCTATTGTGTAGATGATCCAACTCTTCCGCATTTCATTCATAACAAAAGCCTAACACGAGGATGTGTATTAAGAATGGTTCACTAGAGCTATTCATTACAATTCTGCTTGGTGTAGGCTGGCATGCGGTAACAGCAAGCTTCCGGACTTCTGTTTACTCTCTGAAATGTATTTGAATGGGTGGAAATTTTGTTTGTGTACAAAATGAAAAGAGCTTTATCATTAAACATGGAAGACCCTGCTTGCATATGTCAGAATCCCGGAATCTCAATTTGAGAAGAGGAAATAAAACGTTCGTTCGTGAGAAAGATCAAGCGTCCAGACCATCTGAGGCTTTATTGTATTACCCAGGTTCCTGTGGTACACTCACGATAATGCATGCATTACCAGGCAGGCAGAGGTAAACTCTGCTGCAAAGCTTCAATACCATTGCAGGGTATTTTATAGGTACACAGGTACAGGGCAATTGATGACAGAATGCAGACATTACAATAAGATTCTGAGGTCATCACATACAGAACAGATAAAGGAATGTCAGTCAATCATACAGAGACAATGAGATTACAATATTTCTAATTGCAGTGTATTGACACTTTAGTTCAGGAGCTTGAACCCATCTCCAGGTCTGCTTAGACATGTAAATTCAAGCTACTGAGAAACTATGCATGAACTCAAGATTCTTATCTAGACTCTAAACATTCTGAATTGACCAGGAGCCCTCTGGGTTAGGAAGATACTTCCAACAATTATTATTTACAATGTATATTTGGACTGAATGGCCTGTCTACTGTAGCTTACAGCTAAAGGTGAGAGAAAGGAGTGGGGGGGGGGGGAGGCCATTTGAAACAGTGACTTAGCTTGGTTTGAGAAGTACAGGATTTGATCCCACAATTCAAAAAGCACACAGAAGTAATATTTTTCTGACAGGATTTATCCAAATTTTCCCAACACATATCATAGTTTTCAACAATTTCAAATGGAAAAGCAAATTAATTGGTAAGTATATGGATTGTGTTCTGCAAAAGTTTTGCCTCTCTTTGACATACCTAGAGGGAGTGCAACCAGTCATTTTTTTCTCTTAAAGTAGTTTGAGTGAGTAATTTTATGTGTGAAAAGTTTAGAAGTAGCTTTGATTGGCAATTAATCCTGATTTTATAGGTTTTGTAAAATAATTATTATTTGTAATTTATACCAATGGACAACTGCCCTGTGAAGATTACTTGTGCCATCACCACCACTTTTTTCCACATGGAACACTTTTTTCCTATTATTAACTTGGCCCTCTCAAACTCAGGAGCACTTTTGGTTTCACAAAATGTAGGGTGACCCATGATGGGCTACAGTACTAGAGAGATTTGGCCTCTGTGTAAACTTTGTTGTAGAGAGAGAGAATGGCTGAAAAGTTGCATGTGTGAGATCTTGGCTGATAAGGAGATGAGAGAGGCAGACTTCAGCAGCCAAGTGAATAATAAAGCCAGGAAAGATGTCAAGATGATATGTTTGCAACTTGCAGGGGTTACACCTTCCTATCAATCTAACTTCTTTTGGCAGTGAGAAATATAACAGGGCCTCCAAATCAATCATAAACTACTGGCAGGTTCATTATGTATTAGTTGCTTTGTTATTTTTATTGTATTCAATACTGCATCTCAGAAAACCATCCATTTTAGTTCAGTTATAATACTGAGACAGTGTGATTTACTCATCCACCCTAGACTAGCAGGGCAGAATTTCAGGCCTTGTTGGATTATTTCTGAGTGGCAGGTGCTGGGCACAAGCATCAGAAATCACAGCATGGCCTGCTTATAAACTTTTAACTGACACATGGCTGACCACAGCTGGAGCGCTGGACTACAGTAAAGCCATTATTATTTTCATGCCTTTTTCAAGCATATAAAAGTTGCATGTGTCTTCACTATTTCATTTTAGTTTTCATCTTGCCACCTGGTTTCAACATTCTCTCCGGATACCAGCATCAGATGAATCTATCTGATGTAGCAGTGGGCAGTTGCTTGTGAGAAAAATACTACTTAACTACTCTTAAGTTACTATAGCACCATTTGCTGCTAGAAACACTGCTATTCTTCTAGTATGTGGCCCTTTTGGTGGTGGAGAGGTCATGAAATCATATCGTAGGCCGAATTTATTTTCAATTGGAAAATTGGTGCCACCCACAATTCTGAGAACTGCTGCCCAAGTAATTCCTTGTGCTCAGGTTGACTTCTGTTTTGCAAGTAGTGGACCTTTTTCTTACAGCAAGCCACCCTTCCTTTCCAGAGGGTGGGAAAAGTTTCAGAATCTATTTGCATGTGCTTACAGCCCCTCCCCCAATGTCAAAATGCTTCTGGGTCTGTAAAAGCCCTTGCTGGGCCTGCAGCATCTTACCTGGATTGTAGCAACTACCAAGAAACTTTGTTAGCTGATTGAAAAACCTTTCAACATTGACTTCTTAATGTGTATTTCTTTTAGTTGGCCTGTTGCTGTGGCACTGCCGCATGTGCGCTTTGCTGCAAATGCTGCCCAAAGATAAAACAGTCGACCAGCACTCGTTTTATGTATGCACTGTACTTCATCTTGGTGACGGTCATCTGTTGCGTCATGATGTCGGAGACAGTGGCAAACGAAATGAAAAAGCATGTAAGTAGCTACTGCTTCATGGAAGGGAGAGTGTGAATACTAAATGGAGTGAGGATGTGTGTATATCGCCAGAAGAAACCACATTTGTTATGTTTGGGTGTTATGGAAATTGGCAGGAGATGGCATGAATGCTAAATTATTAGACATTATTGTTTGCATGATTTATTTCCCATTCTAGCATTGTAGTACTTAATGCTTTTCAAATCTCTGCTAAAATATTCATATGTAAATGCAAGAAACTTTTTCAGCAGTTTTGGAAACCCTAAACAGTGTGTGTTTCAGTAATGCCAAATGTTTCATCCTGTGTTTTGCTCTAAACACTGAGGAATAGAAAGAGTCAGTACAAAGGACAATTGTTTTCATGAAGGCAAAAGATTATTGCTCTCAGAAAATTGAGTGTTTGGCAGCTTTGAATGAGAGAATGTAAGTAACTCAAGCAGTTCTTTTGTTGAAAGTCTTACCTACTTTCTAGTCTTGTAACTTATTTGCAGTCACTTAGATTCTAGCCTGCTGAGAGTTCAAGGTCCGCTATTAATTCTATCACTGAATAGGGTATATCCAGAAAAAAATTGCTGGTGTCATTCAGAGGTGGGCTGAGTTCTAATTGTGCCCTCATTTTGAATGCCCATGCAGTTGCTGCACCCTTTGTTCAGTTGAACAATGAACATGTCATTGTGTTGCCTGTCGGTTGTAGGCAGCTCTGACACATGCAGCAGGCACATGAAGGCATGACACAATCATCTCGAGACAGTACAATTTATGCAAATATTTGGGTTTCAGCACCCACTCCCTAGAACATCCTAGTAAGTTTGCAGAAATTGCTTCTGGTGTTTTCTTACACTAGAAGAAGCAAATACTTTGTGGAGAACAGAAACTGGACTGACCTGGCAAGCAGAAGCAAACTTGTTGATAGGTGAGCTAGAGGAGCAGCACAGAATCTAGTCCAAGTGCCGTCCTACAATCATCCTCTTAGTTTGTGCAGTGTAGCCACTTGGACATTAACATTCTTGGGCTGGCCCTGAACAAGGTTCCATGAATAGGACTTCTCTTGGACTCTTCAGAATATGGTGGACTTGAATGTATATCCTTGTCACTCTTCAATAGAGAGTTGGTTAGATTTCCAGCAAATAGAAGCACCGTGTTTATTTTGTTTGTTTACCTTTTTGTAGTCTTCAGATGCTGCATAAACAGTGCTCAATAGTGGTGCTTAATATCAGAATGGATCTGTTGTAGGAATGATTTCAAAAAAGCCATGCGTGCACTCAGTTCAGACCTCTAGCAAGAGCATTTGTACTTCTTCCCTGACAGAAAAAGGGTCATTAGAAAGAGAGAAAGACAGAGAAGAGGGTGGCAGAAAGGGAAACAAAGCTGGCAGAAAGAGAGCGCAGGCAGGGAGGGAGGTGGTAGCGCTGCCTCATCAAGTGTTGGCATGCAGTCCCTGACAGCCCAGCCTCAGGAATGTGAGACTTGACAGAAAAAAGATTCTCTTCTCTTGATCAACTGAATGTTGGGTTACATTGCTCTGTCTATCTGAAAATGCTTAGATAAGGCCTTAGGTATTTTACTTGTTGTTTAATAAATGTTTCCAGGCATTATCAAAACAGTCTGGACTAGTGTCCTTTCTCAACTATTTAACCAGTGGTGGTTAACATCTGCCAAGACATCTGCAAGGATGAAATAAGACATTGCTGGTAATTTGCCAGCCTGTTGTCTTCTCATAAATTCCCATCCTCAAGTTTTTAATTGCTTGAATTAAGTAGTTCTACCATGCAATCATCTGCTCTCAACTATTTGGAAGTAAGTCCAATGGAGTTCAATTGGATTTACTCCTAGGCAAGTGTGGATAAGATTGCAGCCACTGTACTCGTTTGATTGCAACACTTGACTTTGTTTTGTAACTCTACGTTTATACACAAAGGCCAAGATCCAAATATTTGCTTAGGGTCATGCAATGCTAGCTAGCTTGTGCTAGCTCTGCAGAAGTTTTGGACCCCCCCCCCCCCCCCGGCCACCTATGAATGGCTAGTCTTCCTAGTATATAGTAAGCTGTTTTTATTATTTGACTTTTACTTCAGTTGCAGAAGTAGTTTGCTGTGACTGCTGATTGAGACGCAATGTTTGGGCAGGACATATGGTTCCATCCCTTTCCTGTACTATCCTCACCACAACCCTGTGCAGGAGATTAGGCTGAGAAAGCGTGACTACCCCAAGTATACCCAATGACCTTCTTGACTGAAAGGGAATTCCCAGGGTGTGCAGCCCTCCAAATGTTTTGGAGAACATGTCATTTGTCTACAACTCCGTAATCAAAGCTCTGTGGGCACCAAAGTTAAAATCCTAAAAATGTAATGAATAAATATAATAATGCATATAAAGAAATAAAAAGCAGGAGTTATTAAAAATCTCAAGTTGTGTGTCAAATGCCTGAGGGTAGAGGAGGGTTTACCCAGGTGAAGGGTGACCATGCTGGTGCCAGGAAAGGCACATTGCAGATGGTGTTCCACACCTGAGAGAGGTGACCACAGGAAGGCGCTTTGCCTTGTTGTCATCCTCTGCACTGGAGCTCCTGGAAGACCCAGCCAGCATAGCCAGTGGTCTTAGAAAAGTTGTACTCCATGAAAGTTGTACTCTAGAACATCTGGAGAGCACCCAGCTGTCTACTGCACTATTGATTGCCACACATTGGCTCTGTGTACACAGAAGTTACTCCATGGCTCTTTAGGAGTTTGGATTGGCTTCCTTAAGCAAAGGGAAACATTTTCCATAACTGGACAAGTTTGTTCTTGTCAGTGACAGTCAACAGATTCCATATTGCCTTTATCCTCAGCCACTTTAAGTAAAAGGTTACTCTATATATTGTTTTCTCTGGATTTCTGCAAACTGGGCTTAGACTTGGAGCATGCTATTTTGAGTCTCAGGGGATGGCTCTGACACGAATACAGTATGGTAATGTTCTGCTCAGCTGTTATAAAAGTTTAGTCAGTCCATAAGCGTGAGAATATAGAGAAGCTTTTATTTTATTGTAAATGCTTGTATTTATAGATCAGTACATTTATTTGCAGACTCTTCTGGCTAGGAGGGGGTAAGTGCCCGTTGTTCCAAGTAGCACAGCCCAAGGATCTATGCCCGAGTCACAGAAACGTGCCTTATGTATTTTCAGAGCACAGCTGCACATTTAGTGTGGTAAGCTTGAGGCCAGAATGTGTGGCTGGCTGTTCTTTTTCCATGAGCTAAAGCATGGCCTCAAAAACAAATATTTAGCAAGTTGGGGAAAGGGCTGGAATTTCTCCACCTTTCTGGTATCTTGCTTTTGCAAGATGTAATAAGCATTTCAAGCTGTTGGGAGTTTGAGGGAGGATTTTTGGTGTGTGTTTTAGAATGTATTTTAACAAGCTTTATTTTTAGTTCCAAAAAATGCAGTACACCAATAAAATATAACTGTTTAGAAATTAATGGCTAAATCAATGTTACACGTAACCAAAAGGAATATATTTTAGTCAGCTTAAAGAAACTAATCACTAGAAATTCAGCTTCTGTAATTGTCAAAGCAGACCAAATACTGAATTTTTAAAATTCTGGTTTTTAAGAATAATTTTATTAATGGCTTACAAGAAAGTACACTGAGTTAAACCTAATGATAAAAATGAAGCCACTTCTAAAAAGGCAGTGAATGCAGCTCTAAGTAGAAATCCTTCTGGTATAGCATTACTGGAACCTTAATGGAACATGCATGGTTATTATTTCAGAAAAAGAAAATACAATAATTTAATTTCTAAAAGAAGAATTACTATATCTCAATAAAAACATAAATAATCACACAGGACAGTAATACCCAGGCTAGCTTTTTGTTTTGAAATCTGATCATCTGGCAAGTGCTTGTGGATGAATTTAAGCAGAACTGTAGTTGGCAACTCTAGAAGCATCCCATAATGATCTGAAAGCTGCTAAAATTGGTTGTCAACTTATTTAGATTACATCTATCTCTAATAAGCCTAACTCTGTATTTCAGATGAATACTGCATCTAATGCTGTATGCCAGCAAATACAGGCAGGCGACTCCTGTGAGAAGTTGGTGGGCTATTCTGCGGTTTATCGAGTGTGTTTCGGGATGGCTTGCTTCTTTTTCATCTTCTTCTTACTCACAATCAGAATTAGCAATAGCAAAAGCTGCCGTGCATACATTCACAATGGGTAAGCTCAGTGCATGCCTTCATTTTTTAAAAATTACTACACTAAACCTTTGCATTTGTTCACTATCTTAATACATAGGTTTCATTCTTCATTTTCCACTTCTTTCTCCACCCCAGTTTGCTGTTGAAATACCTTTGGAGCTTGGCCAGTTCCTAAGAGACCACTGTATATTCATAGGAATGAACAAACAGCAATAGCAGTACTTAACATCAGTTCTGTTTCCAGTGCTACCCATCCCCTTCTCTTATTTTTGCATGAATTTTGTTGCTGTTATCCTAACATCAGATCAGCCCCACCCCAAGCTTAGAAGTTTTGAAAAAGTATATGTAAAGTGTGCCCTACAGTGTGGTATCTATGGTGCTGTTTGATCCTGTTTACTGATTTGAGAGGTCCCTTCCCATGGTGTGGGGCAAAAGTTACGGCTGCAGAATTCTTGGGGATTGCACTGTTTGTTCTTTCTGCAGCCTCCTGTTGACAGAGCATGCAGTGCCCGCATGGATCCTTTCAACTAGGGAAACTAGCAGAACAGAGAGAACAGTGCAAAGTCTGCCTGTCTGAATTCTCTTTTGTTTCTCTGAGGACATCTCAAGAGAGGGATTACCTCTGTATTTATCCCCACTGCCATCCCAGGCCAAGGAATGAGGAATCCATATCTGAGTATCTCATTTTTTTCCCCAGCTATGTCAATCCAATTTTATCTCTCTGTTTTCCTTCCCCAGATTTTGGTTCATTAAATTTCTGGTCTTGGCAGCTATGTGCTCAGGAGCCTTTTTCATTCCAGACCAGGATACCTTTCTTAAAGGTACAAGCCATACATAATTTTCTCTACTTTTCTTCATGAGTATCAGTTTACAAGCAGATAACCAGAAATGTTAAATTGGTTGTAGATGAAGTCATTCACTGCCCTGTTAGCTGTGTACCTGAGCAAGAAACAGCCTGGGTATGCTGCCTTGTTTTCCCAAGAGGAAATGGGGAAGAAGCGCAGCAGCTGGGGAACTGAAACATGGCATGGACAACTTTTCCCTAGAGTAGGTAGGCAGACAGTGGGGGAGAGAAGCATGAAATACAAGAGTGAAGGAAGGAGCTTATGAAACAAAAGTTTGTGAAAATTAAAGCCACAAACAACATAACTTGGAAATCCTGCAATACAAAGTTACCCTTTCTCCCGACCCCCAAAACTGCCAGAGTAAATTTAGGGACCAAAGGCAGAAGAACATGCAGAAGGAAATATTTAGATTACAGATATTCTTTACTTTGTCTAATTCAAAAATGGAAACAACGCAAATAAATGATGGGTAGTTTGCAAAACTAAAATCTCAACACTTGAATGAGTGTTCTATTCTAGATTATCAGTGCAAATGATTTAGGCCTCTTTGCATGTCACCTTTCAGTAGGAGGTCCTCTTGTGAAGTTCCAACTGCAGAAACGTATCCCATACTTCTCCATGGGGTAAACAGTTCCAGAACATGGGTGATTAGCACTGCAACAATTTAACAGTACATTTGGCAAGCAAAATAATTATAGTGCCCCTTTTTATTTCATAATCTCACGTGAACCAATCTGTCCATAGTTTAAAACAGCTGCTCTAAAAGTGGGTTTCCATTTTTCATTCTACATGATCTGTCAGGAAACAGGATTACAACACACAAAGCAGCTTGGGCAGAAAATCAAACCAGGAACTCAAAACTGAAGACCCGGTTTAATTTACCTGCTAAATAGATAGTTGTTGCATTTTTGGGAGAATGGGGAAGTATGAGCTCTCCTGGGGCATGGAAGAACTGAACAAGAAAAGGACCTGATGTAAAAACATTAACCATTTCCATCTATGCTTTGTACTCAAACCCATCCACACACTCCCAACGCTGCAATATGCCTCAGTAAGGAGAGTGTTACTGGTTCAATTTTCACTGGAACTGCAATCAAGAGGGAAAGGGTTACTCATCCCAGCCCCTGTCATAGTCCTGATCCCTTTAAAATGGTTCAAACGACGTATTTAAAACATTTTGAACAATTGCAACTCCACCCCCGCCCCCTTTTCTAAAGGACCAGACAATTGTGTAATGTATGGAACATACATCCTTCTCCCACCTTGTTGCTATCTGAGAAATATTGTAGTACAACTTTTTCTCTGTGTGTAAGATACACATTTTCCAGCAGTAAAACTATGAGTCCAGGAAAAATGAGCCACTTGGGAATGTGTAAAAACGTTGGTATGTCAAGCTTGGTATGATTAGCTCAGTTACTGTACAGCTGGATTAGATTGCTTGCAGGAATTAAGGTTTTGTTCTGTTTCTTATGTGGAACAATTAAACCAAACAGCATTTGATCTAGTGCTGCTAAAAGTCAGGAGCAATTGCAGTTTAAGGCTCCTGCAATTTTGTTAGTTTCCAGTTTGATGACATGTAGTAATACCAAATTAGATTTCCAGCAGAGCTTCCATTTCATTACTGTAAAAACCAGTATCTGCAGCACTATCTGAACTGCAGTTCCTACTAATTAAAATAATTTGCTGCACTTATAAATGCTAGCAATGTCCAAGCATTGTAGGAAAAGGAAAATACAAGATAGTGTGAGATATGTGCAACATAATCTTAAGCATATAGATAAGCTTTTGCTGATATTAACTGCTTTAACTGCTGGCCTTTAAAGACATCCACACTTTTCAAACCTCACATGCTTTCTAAGTAAAGGAGAAGCAAGATGTCAGAAAAGTTTCCCTGAAGATAATAGTTCTTCCTCCACCAAACAACAGCGAAGGGACAGCTTGTTTAAAGTCTAGCTGGTGAAAGAGAAGCTTGCGACAAGCTTTTCCTCACTCAAGTTCACTGGCTGGTGACTCAACTAATATCTTAACTTCAGTTAGCATTCTCCCTGTTGCATAAAGTGCTGTATGTCATGATGACCGAGCCTTAGAAATCTGACCTGTCTTACCAGCCGCTCCCTGTTTTTGTTTGTATCTGTAATGTGATTGGAGCATGTTTTGAATACTTTTAAAACATAAGAGACACAAGCCACATTACTGATGGTTCATGCTAATTTTCCACAAGAAACAGGTGCAGGTTAGATGACAGATTATTTGTTTCTATGATTTCTATCTCAAACACAATTGGATTTATATGTATCTTTCACTAACTGAATGAAAATACATTCTAGATCTTAAAAAGAGCGTCAATACAAGTATGATTCTACCCTTTGGGCCAGATGGCCATAAATGCATATAGATTTGAATCTGGGGAAAACTATTTCCAGTTTTAATCACAAAGAAGGTTTTATCAGTAGGTTTTATCAACACCTTGGGGGCTGTTACACTACTGTTTCCAAGACTTCACTTCTAAGAAAATCTAAATAAACACTCTAGGTATACAGATTTGGGTTATATTCTAAACAATAGTGTTTAATGTTTTATAGTGTTGTAAAATATCTTCCTGTAGGTTCATCTGGGTTTTTTTAACCTCTTTTGTTCTGTTACCTTTAGTGTGCCTTCTGCATTCTCCTTTTCTAACAAAAGCTGCATTATTTGAGCTGAGCTGATAAGTCCAAAGGGGTTTTGTTCTTAGACTGCTTTATCCAATACCATTTCTCAGCACAGGGTAGTAACTGCATCTTCTTTGCAATGTTGACAAGTTGTGGACTTGGCTAGTAGAAATATTATGAACCAAGACAAACAGGTCAAATAAGATTTGTTAGTGTTTGTTCCTGTTCATGAATCAACCTCATCACCATGATTCGACTGCAGGAAAGAACTTTCAGAATGAAATGTCTTTATGTATGTCAGAACTGATGATGCAAATTTTTACTCTCTCTATAGCATGGCGCTATGTAGGTGCTGCAGGAGGGTTTCTCTTCATTGTAATTCAACTCATCCTGCTTGTAGAATTTGCACACAAATGGAACAAGAACTGGTATGTACCTTCCACCCTCTTTCTCCTTCTGCTCTCTGCCTTGCCTTCTAAAGATTTTCTATAATCATCTAAAAGAATAGCTGCAATTTTAATTAATACTTTAATGAGCTGCACTTACTGTATTCCGATTCAGGGGAAAATGAAAATGTAATTGAACTTTTTTTCCTTTGGCACCAGGCATTCTCATTTATTCCTGGCTTTGGTTATCTGTTTAGGCCTATTTGGTTTAGGCCTTTTTGCTTACTGTTTCTTGTATGTTGCGACATTTTATGTGATTATGAGCATTTTCAGTATTTCCCTTTATACTAGTTGCTGAAGAATGGAGGAGGTGAGTCTATTGCATCTGGGTGGCCACTGGTGGAAACAAAATTCTAGATAAAAACAGACTTTTGGTCTGATTCAACATAGCCTGTCTTTACTGTTCTCTTGCTGGCAAATTGCTGGACCTGCTGCTACAGCAGCGTATCCATAAGTCTTTTTGGTTCCATGTGCATGTGGAAGGCAGGAATGCAATAAGAAAAATTCATGTAAACCTGATGTATTTTTTCATAGAACTTAATGGTTGGCAAATAGTATTGCCTTTCTTGGTATATTCTTTGTAGGAGTCCTCACATTTTGATGTAATGATCTTCTTCGTGTCAAGAAGAAATAATTCTTCCAAATATATCCCCCTCTTTGATCCTCTTTATTGTGCCAAATCTAAACTCATTTTAACAGACCAAAGCATTGTTTTTCCTAGCCTTTTTTTCCAGCTGCTTATTGCAAATCATTAGGTTGATATGCCCCTAGTCACAGACAATAGCAGTTTGTGACCCACACATATCAAACCGTGCTTGTTTCAAATCAAGATGATAGGGCAGCTTCCTTTTTTAGAAATTGGCACTGTGTGTATTTTTAAATTGATTGTATTTAGTAGAGTTTTATACTGCCCAACAGCCAAAACTCTGCTGGGTAGTTCACATAAGTTAAAACCCTAAAATATACCATGATGAAACATAAAATTTAAAATTTTTAAAACTGTTTAAATCCAGTGAAAACCAGCTGCTATTTAAAAATCTAAAATCATTTAAAGGTCTTCTGAAGGACTCAAAAGCCTGGGAAAAATTATATATATACACATCTCCCGAGCACTGAGAAGCAGAATCAGGTGAGCCCCTTTGCAAAGGCTAGTTCACGTCCAGGGTGCTGCTGCTGCTGCTGAAAGGGGCATTTCCATTGCAGCTGCCCACATCACCTCTTTTGGCACATTAAGCAATGTAAAGAGAACAGATTTTATCCCTATTCAAAATAATCTGAGCAGGGTGCACCTTAAGGCTGTATAGCACATTTATTTTATTACATGTGTAGCCAATTTTTTCCAGCAAGGAACCCCAGACAGCTTCCATTTTAAGCTCACAACAACCCTGTCAGGTAGGTTAGACTGAGAGTCCATGACTGGTCCAAAGGCTCCCAGTGAGCTTTGTAGCCAACTGGGAGCTAGAACCTGGGTCCCCTGTGTCCCTGTCTAACACTCTAACTGCTTTGTCGCACAGGCTCTCCTGTTCATTTTACTTTCCAACCCAATGCATAATGTGTTTTTCTTTTCCAAATAGGACCTCTGGCACAAAGCACAATAAACTCTGGTATGGATCCTTAGCTTTTGTGACCCTTGTATTATACTCCATCGCTGTTGGAGCTCTGATTGTCATGGCTGTCTTTTACACGCGTGCTGAGGGCTGTACATTTAACAAGATTCTGCTTGGTGTCAATGGTGGCTTGTGCTTGCTCGTGTCAATGGTTGCCATCTCACCCTGCGTCCAAGACCGTAAGTAGCTTTTCCGTTATTGTTGTTCTTAACTTGTTTTAGCTGGCTGGGGCTGTGCTAATGCTGAGAAGTTCAGCTTGTTTGAGCCCAAGGGTTTTCCACAGACTTCCATTACTAACATGGGCAATGGTTTGCACACTTTTAAACACTGCAGAACTTTGAGCAAACTGCACAACTTGTGTAAATTTACACAATTTCTACTAATCTGTTTTGTGTATTTTGCCCCAAGCAGCTCTTGAAAAGTATGCGAATCTAGTGTGAATTGCATACAATGGGCAGATTTACACAAATTGCACACAAGGACCACATTTCTCAATATCTTTTTCTGTAACTGGGCATCTAATGGGATGCCTTTAAAGACAGGAAAAAAGTAGATTCAAAGATAGAATTTAGGGATCTAAAGATGGTAATTTAGGGGTCTCTCCACTTCCCTTTTCATGGTCTGGCAAGCCAGCAGTTGGAGGTATGTTGAAGGTTCTGATACATGAAACTTTGAAATGAATCTAATCTTCACAGATTTTACAGTGTGAGTAGATTCAAAGGTTCCTGTTGTCAGTAGAAAAATTGTCCTACTCGTAAGAAGGCTCCATCCAATGGAGAGGGGGAAATTTTGAATACAGTCCAGTGAACACTCTTGTTTTGTAAATATAAACTGTATCAGTTTTCAAAAATGCTTTCATTTTTAAAAAATTCCTGCAGGTCAACCACACTCTGGCTTGTTGCAGTCCAGTATTATCAGCTGCTATGTCATGTATCTTACCTTCTCATCTCTGTCAAGTAAACCACCAGAAACTAGTAAGTTGCTTCAAACAGGGATAACATGTGCATGTAGATTGATGGCATTGTGTAAATAAATGGCTAAGGATCAGGGTGAGTCTTGGGGTCAAGGTTTGTCCAAGACAAGACACAGCCAGTGCACTCTCATGTCATGCCACTCCCAAGAGGCTTTTTCTTCCCTTCTGGCTTCTGTCAACAGCTGTCAAAATATGAGCTGTCAAGAAAAAGCAAAGGTATTTGTGATCCTTACTCACAGAAATGGGATGATGATATTTATACCTCCCTCTATACTTTGTTTTGTTTGGACATTGTACCTCAGTATCCTAAGCATAGTCTCACTTTTCCATTTGTTCCTGAGTCTCAGGCACCCTGTTTTAAAGATATCAAAATTTTGATAGCTAGCTGTCAAGCTCTAGTTCTCTTTAAAGGAGTTTCTTGACAGGAGGCATATGCATTCGTACTTACATTAGTACTTAGAAAGAAACCACGGAGAACTCCTTTCCAACTGTTTACACCGGTGATGGGTGGGGGTATTTCTTGTTGTTATCAACATGTCAGTTCTACCTAGTAGCCTAAACTCTGTAGGAGGTTTATGAAAAGGTTGAAATTGATTGAACTACGTGGAATGAACTTGATGAAAAACATTTCATGCACAATTTGACCTATGCCCTTAATACTGCAATTCATATTACAGCCATCCCATTCTTTTACTCTGGCTCAGTGATTGCAAACTCTGGTTTGTACTGTGTTGCAGGGAAATTGTTTCTAAGAAAACAAGTGAAACCTGCAACAGAATATTGCTGCATGAGTGCTCCTGTTCAGAGTACCAGCTACTCCATTCCACATTACTCTCTGTTTTTACAAACTTCACCCCAGCAGACAGAGTTTAATGGCCACATCGGTTTGGGGGATTTTCTAGTTATTTTCTTACTTCTGGAAACTTTGGTATTCCCCTAAACCTGCTGTACCTTCCTGTTGTGCATTGTCTGTGCTGTTCTGAGCCGTTTACCCTTGAGTGGTTCAACAAACACTGAAGTCTGCTTGTGTTTAAGAGTGCTGGAATGTAACTGCACTGTTAAGAAGGCTCTTGGGGCACTATATAACAATATTTATAAGATATATATTATTTATGTAATAAATATACTGTCTGTGAAGCATCTGCAATCCTGCAGATACACCCACTGGCAACAGCACTCTGGCTGCTGATAAGTAGATCCCAGCATCTTCCCAACTGGACTGGTATTCCAGAGCTCATTTCAGAATGTAGATCTGACTGACACTTTTCCATTTACATGAACACTTTGGGATTGCTTCATCTGACCTATTTCTGAAAGGGAGAAACGAAGTAGCTAAGATAAGGAATTATAATAAGGGTTAGAATACATATTTGAGATGTTGGGATAGACCTTCTTATCAACATGCAGCTGAAAATGATAGCATTCTGAATGTTTAGTCTTGTTTAGATGTTTCTTCTGTCTGAATATTTAGTAAGTGCAATATGATATAAGACAACATCATCTTTTGCTTGAAAGATGTTATTTAATTTGCAAATTGAATGGTGTTACCATTTTGGAGGATGTTTTATCACTCATTGGAAAAGTTAAAATACAAAAGTAACTGCAAGGATTTCTGTGCAGTGCATAAAGGCTGTTTTCCATAATTTTGAAGATCTTAGTTTGGGGCACATGCTTATGCTGACTCGGCAAATAAACAATAAAAGAGCAAAGTACAGCAGAATGTTTGGCTGCTCCAGTGATTTCTTTTGATAATTAGATATAACTTGCTTTCAGTACAAAACATACTTGCTTTCCTTCATTTAAAAATGTTATGATAGGAATATAATGGATTGTATCCAATTAACCTTTCCCACCAATGAAACAGCTTCTGACAGTGCAATGAGAAGGAGGTTCCCCTTCCCCTGCTGCCTCCTCTGTACCCTTAAAATCTGCTTTGAAGATGGCGGGACCTTCTGCAGCAGATGAGGCAGCTGCAGGGAGAAGGAGAGAGGGAAAGTTCTGTTGCCAAGACTGAAGTAATAACTGAAACATAAATAAGTTAACCTGCTGCCTGATTGTGTACTGTGTTTTAAGTCCTAGATGAGAATCAGAGAAACATTACAATCTGTGTACCTGAATTTAACCATGGGCTGCAAACAGATGAAAACTTGGTGACTGGACTGGGGACTGCCATCCTGTTTGGCTGCATTTTATATTCTTGGTATGTTTTGGGTTGCAATTATAATGCAGGGTACAATTAATTGCGTATATGTACAAAAGTACACTTTCTCTAACATAGTGGTATACATGTTTCTTGCATTGGAGCTTATTATTATTACTCTTACTAGCACCTCTACTTCACTGCAGTCACATCCCACCCTTTTTCCATCTGTGAGAAAGCCAAGGGGGCTTATATATGTTGAGGACATACCAGTGCTCCCCTTAATACAGCAATTGCTTCCTGACATGTTGGTTTCAGCCACTGCACTCCGCCAACTTACTGTTGGGAAGTATTAGGGGTATCCATTGATGGACTGGTTGCAACAGGATTCTGTTTTCCATAGAAGAGCAACCTCCATGAAACAGTCCTTTTGGTATTTAAAAGACCCCTCTGTTCATGGCTCTCAGAAATAAGTATCCTTTTTGTTGTTAGAAAAATGTGGTGTTAGATGTGTCTTAGGGCAATATTGAAAACACCTTGTTCCCATTGATCAATTATATTTTTTTTTACTTTTTTTTTCTTGCCTTCCGGTTACTTGCGTCTCTGGATGGCTTACAACATAGGTAATTTGAGAACCCACTCTGGCTGCAAGTTAATAAAATGCAACAATAAAATTGAATATTAAAACATATTAAAATATTCATTAAATAAAGGCTTAACTTGGTGCCGAAAAACATATATTGGCAGTTCCACGTGGACCTCTCTGGGGAGCGCATTCCATAGTCGGGGTGCCACCGTAGAGAAGGCCCTCCTCCGGGTACTCTGTCTCACAGAGGGTTCCCGGAGGAGGGTTTCTGTTGCCGATCTCAGGGGGCGGGAGGGCAAATAGGGAAAAAGGCGTTCCTTCAGCTATCCTGGTTCCAAGCCGTTTAGGGCTTTATAGGTAAAAACCAGCACCTTGAATTGAGCCCGGACTTCGATGGGAAGCCAAATTTCCACTTTCCTGTTTGTTTCTAGCTTGACCTCAACAACCCGGGCAAGTTCTGAAGCACTGAGAGGAATCTATGCAACACCAGAAACTGAAGTAAGCCAACATTTCACCTTGATTGTAGCCTGCTTGTTCCATATTGTAGTTGTTCTTCCCCTGACAATGTTTCTGCATTTTCAGATCGGTATTTAAGAGTTGCCTAACTTATACCATATTTTTGTCTGATCCAAAAACTCAAAGTTGTTTCAGAATTATATGCTGCCAATGTTCCCTGAAAGGCAGGTTAAAAATAAATACATATTAAAAATTTAAAAATAAATATTTTAAAAACTTATTAAAATAATAATAGTTTCTTAGAACATGTTCAAATACTGGCATTGTGGTGGTCCAATTTTCTTATTCAGGCATCTTGAGCAAACTGCAAGCCATCAGCTTTCTACTGTAAAGACATCAAGCATTAGCTTTTACTGCTTGAGTTTTCAGCAGCATCGCTGATATCAAGCTTGTGTCAGCTTATAGAACTGTGTTTCGCATGCACTATAAGCAGCTGCAGATGTCCTGTGAAAGGGCTAAAAAGGCTACTGGGTGTTCTGGCTGAGGCTCACTGAGGTCACATCGGTTCAAACTGATGGGGCAGTGACCATCCCAACACTATACAGATGCTCTTGAGTGCAGTACTGATGGTGCTTCTTGGCCTAGCAGATTTCCCAGCAAGCATTATCAACACGGCACTATGTAAACTAGAACAACATAATTTCCTTGAGCAGCGGTGACATACTATTTTTTTCTTGGCCCTGTTGCCTTAGTGCAGGGTGGGCAACTTGTGGCCCTTGAGACGTTTTAGCCTGCAGCCCTCATCCCCACTAGCCAGCAAAGCCACTGGTGAGGAATGAACCTGAGGGCCACAGGTTGCCCACTCTTGCATTGGTGGCGTAATACCCCTCTCCCCAAGAAAAACTTCTGCATGTGCAGACTTCCAGTTTGTGCAGATTGCTTGATGTTTCTGGCACATGGCTGGAAAGGTGACTCATTCTGGCAGGGCTGACCTCCATGGGAGTGGGGAGCCTAAATTTAGAGTTGTATGCATAGGCTTAAGAAAGCTGCATATTTTATTTTCTAATTGCATCTTCTTTTAATTAAAGCTCTTGTGCATGAGTCAGATTATTGTCCAGTCCAACTATTGAGAATTACTTGACAAATGAACAGGGCTCCAGAAATTGTAAACAATAAAGGGAGAACTAGACATTCTGTGTGCACGAAACAGGGTGACTGCCTAGATGACTAACAGTGAGTAAGGCGAAAGAGGGTAAATATTTTTTATAGAAAAGCCTGTTCACAGGAACTGGTTACATTCTATGGTTTTGCATAATCTCATTTTTATTGCATGATGTGTTACACAAGGAGTCAGTTGTGTGAGGGAACTATTAATAAATGGCATAATCCAAAGACAGATAAAACTGGTACAGTATTCATTGTGGCAGTGTCATGTCTACATAGGGTAGGATCCAACAGTGGCCTGGCACTGGTCGCAGAAACCAGTGCTTGTGCAAAGTCTTATTAGCACGACAGGTTTCCTGGCTTATGCTAAGACAGCATCAGCTGCACCGGCAGTGGGAGACTGGTGGATCTTATGCATTGTTTCCCAGATATTAAGACTGGTCAGATAAGTCTTATCTCCTTCCTGCTCTTCTTTAAAAATAATTTTATTTTTCCAACATATACAATTACATAGAAAAAATACAGAACAAAGGGAAAGCATAAACAAAACAGACTAAAGTGAACAAAATAAAATTGCCAAGGGAATTAAAAACAACACAGCCCATATACTGCTACCCCAGAACCAACTCTCTTCAAATCTTCCCACGCTCTATAAGAGTTTGCAAAAAAGAAAAGAGAATCATTATTCTATACATCAACAGATTTTCCAACCAGTTCAGATCCTAATGCTTTCCTTTTTCTTTTCCAAACTCCCCTGGACTTCCATTCATCTCCTTCCTGTTCTGATGCATAGTAAAAACCTGCCCCAAACAGGCTTCATTTCTGGTGTGCTCTGCTGGGTACATGCCATGTTAGTTGCACTAAGAGAAGATATGAGGTATTTCGTGGTGGCAGCTTCTCCAGCCATTGCAGAGCCACTGCCAGCCAAGGAAGTAATTCAGGGAGGCAGCACTTCCTAGTGGGGAGCTCTGACACAAATGTATTTGCCATCACTCTGCTGCCGGTTCAGACCTTTCCAGTTTATTCATTGTCAGACACCTGATTTAGTATGCTTGTCACTTGCAAACAGCAGGGTCAAGAAGCACTCTTAGTGTGTTGATTCTTCTTTTGCTGAGGAAGAGACAACACAGATGGATTCTGTCTGGGAAGACAGTCCTGGTTGCATGGGAGAGTTCAGAATCGCTGCACTAAAGTGCATCATAACAGCATTACTTTTAGATCATTTGCTTCCAAAGAGCGCTACAAGAACCATTGCATGGAAATACAAAGAAAAGGCTAGCAGCAGGCAACTAAATTGTGTGTTTCATTCTTCCCCCTGACAGAGGGACTTTTGTCCCCTGATTAGAAATGTAAACATAATTCTCCAGCTGCATCTGTTAAATGGGGAACCTTGCTTGCATCTGAACCAAAGATTGTTGCCCACATTATGGGGAACTGTTTACATGCATGCTAAACATTGCTAATTGTATCTCAGGACTTTGCAAGTCCTGAGTATTTGATAAACGTAACTGTGCTGAATTCATATATGGAAGTCTTAGAAGGCAAAAACTTGCAACATTGTCAAACATTCTTAATTTTAAGCATGCAAAAGAACAGTTAAGCATAAGCATGCATAGAATTGACCTCCCTTCTTCAAAAAGATTAGCTGGAATTTTGTTGCCTCTGACAGTCTTGTGATTGCTATGTGGAAGCATGTGGGTCTAGAGATTTTGTTTTTAGTACAGGTTAATAGAAAATAAATGAACATCCAGGTGTTGCCCATAAAAATGTTTTATAAAATATAATTTCAGAAAATAACAACATGATTTTTTACAATTTAATTTGAGTGTATTAATTAGTTTCTCAATAATTTGCTTTTTATCAGGAAGCAACCAAAATATTTTATCACTTTAAAATGTGTTGTACTGTACCAGTTTAAAAATCTGTACCAGAAATTAGCAGATGTAGTATTTTCTGGTTATAAATGTTGTGTTTTCCTTCAATGCTTGTTGTAGAGTAGTGAAGGGAACCATCCTGAGTGGCTCCCCATGACCCACCCAAACTCAGAATTACAGGCATCTAGCCTCGTCCCCAAAATACTTAAAAAAAAAAAACCACACCAGCCAGAAGGGCAGAGGAAAGGTGCTCAGAATTCAGAGACCCAGCTCCAACTTTGGCATGCTTTTTCAAGGTCGGAGCTGGAGCTCCAAAGTTTCTTATCTATCTTATCAGTGTCTAGCAGCAATAAGACAGTCCCCAAAATCTTTGAAATCGTTTACCTTTTGCTGCTTTAAAAATTAAAAGCCCCTCTTCTACATGCAACAACACAAACACTTTAGGTAATGTTGTGTTGTTTGTAATGGCTTGTTTCTAATGTGGAAACTAAAGCCTTCTCTTCTTTTTTTTTTGTATGCCATAGGTTGCCCGCTGCTGCTTCTGTTGTTCTCCTGATGAAGATGGTAAAAATTCATCCTTTCATGCAACTTGTAGTTCCACATAAATTTGCATCATTTAGTATATGCTAGACAATTTGCATGCTTGATCAACATGCTGTATTTGTGTTTCTGATACCTTCAGATCTTCAGCATGATTTTGAGAATCCTATTTTTTTATTCACTTTGTTTAAAGGGTTTGTAGTCCTCATCCCTGAATTGTGCAAATATGATCATTTAAGGGTATCTCTATTATCATGTAAGGGTAACTCATAAAGATTTTGAAATAGGAAGGCATATATTTTAAAGAACTTGAAAGAAGAACTAAATTTTACTTTTGACATTAGGATGGGGTTTTCCCATTTACCCCTTTTCCTGTAAGATGCAACACGAGATAAGAAACCATGAAAGGGGAGGGTGCATGTCCAGTTTCTTTATTCGCTTTGATGAGCACAGTTCAAGAAAGGCTAGTTGAATTGTTTCATGTCAGATTTATCTTAAGAACCTGCACCATATTAGGTAGCAACAAATGAATTCACCCTGGTCAGAGAAGAAAGAGTGTCATGCCCTCTCAACCCAAGAATGTATGTAATGCAAATCCTGTAGCCCAAAACATTTTCAGCAGTTTGTAAGTACATGTAAAGCACTCTTAAACCCACAGGTTCATAGATGCTATAAAAAACTTGCTCTTAAAATAATCATGCAGTGCTGCCTTCTCAAAGCCACAGCTATGTTTGTATGTTTTATTTAATTTGCTATAGCGTGAAGGAAAAGTGCATATCCAGAGCCTTCAACTCAATAGTTATGACCACAGGGATGTTAATTAGAGGCCTGGCTTTGAAAAAGGCCATGCAGATGGAAAATGACATGAGCCCTACTCTTCCTGCCATGTGATGGTATGGTGCATTTCTCTCTAGAATTCATTGTAATAGATTGTACATCTGTAGCAACCCTCATAGTGCCTGTCCTGGTGGGCGCATGCACAGTTGCTTTAAACATAGTTCATTCCACTCACAAGGATTTATCTGCCATCAGGCTGTGCTGAGGGGACAACAGGGGAGTATACTAAGCCTGACCCATACAATTTTGTCGCATTGTGTGCCATGCTGGCTGCTTTTCGTATGCTTCATATACATAACATAGTGTGAACTGTAAAGCAAGGACAGTAGAAATATCAAGCTTCTTGCAGAGGTGTTTAATTGTACAGGCATTCCCCGGGTCACGAATGAATTCTGTTCCTGAGAAAATGGAAATTTGTCTTTAAGCCACGTATAGTCAACCCTCCACAATCCTATTCTCACCAGGGGCCAAAGTTGATATCAATTGCTTGCATTCAGATTTTGAAACGCCTGGCCATTCTGTTAGCATATTTAGTTCAGTAGGAACTGTTGTTGTTGATTCAGTGTACTGGCAGCTATAAATGGAGGAAGAGTGTTGGTTCCAGCTTTGTGTTGAAATGCATGGTTGAAATGAAACATTGAAATGAAATGAAAGGCATGGTATGGTGTATGGAGATGCTGTTAGCCACCAGTTCCCAAAATTTCCTCTCATTTTTTTCAGTTAGGCTAAGGGCAAGTTCCCTCCATTGATCCCTATGGTATGGTAACTTCTTGGTCTTTAATAATTTCTTAAATTGAGATCAGAGTTGGATCAATTGTTGAATCAGGGAATCTAACTCTTCTCCGTAACTTTCTCATCTCTTCTCTTTTGTTCTTACATTCTTGGTCGTACCATCCCTTTCTTATGTTATTCTTTCTAGGAGGACATGTAGTGAGCTGGGAGCTTAGCACACTATTAATTGAACTAAAAGAGTGTGTGTGTGTAGGAATTTGGATGTAATGCAAGCTGCCTTTGTTCCAGCATCTGTGGAGTGTTTAGAAAGGCAGTGATTTTCTCACTGAGGTTAGGGCACCATCTAAGACAATATTTGACTTGTCTGATGCTGTCAAGGTTGTGGTACCTTGCAGGAACAGGGGCCTTGTAGGCCAAAAGTGTCAAGACCATAGGTAAATGATCACTCTCAGTTCTATTATGGACATCATATGTCATCTTGTTCATCATGTAGTTCTCAATTTTTGGTTATTTGGTTGGTTTGGGTACAGTATAAGAGCCTGGGCTTGTCCTCTTATGTTTCTTGTTCTTCCCCATTGCTTCTGTGTCGATGTATCTCAGCTGAAGACTGTAAACTATTTCAGGAACTTACAGTTCCATTATGTAGTATCTCTGTGGGAACTTACTTATAAAATAAAGCTGGATAAAAATTAAAATCATGTGGCTGGGCAAATTATAAAAATGAGTAGAGCAAGTAAAATATCATAGGGAGCTCAGCAAAGAAGCTGTCGCTCTGTTGCCATCTTGGCTCTGCCCAAATGTAATGTAATAATGCTAAATCTCACCTAACACTGAAATGCTCCTCATCCCCCCCCCCTTTAGAAACTTTCTGTTCTTTGCCGTGGTCTCTGTGCATCACACATATGAGTGCTGTGCCTGTGTTTGGGAAGATTTTCTTAGCATTGACTGTCTTTGTGGGAACCTCCCTCCCCATCCTGGTATAAATAGCTGGGGTCCCCCCGCCCCTCTTTTGCTAGTCTACTTTCGACTGCTGTTTGCTGTGCCCTGGGTTTCTCTCACTGCTGTTCTTTAGAATACCTCCTCCTCCTACTGAAAACTTTTCATTACCTTATACTTTCAACCTTCAGTGTTATACATGTCTGGAATGTAGTCCTAGATAAGTTCATTCAGGATTGCAACCTTAGTCACTAAGTATAATGTTGGGTTTATTGCTTTATTTTTTGAAACTTCTACTGTACTTTTCCCTGGAAAAGTCTGGCCAAGCAATCAATATTACAATCAGTATTAAAACAATATATCACCAGCAATAATTAAAACAATAATCAATAACACAAGCAAAAGTATAAAAAGACACAGCAAATAAAATGCACCAATGACCCTCAGGGAACAAAATAATTAAAAAACTTGCACCTCCAAGATTCCAAAGACCTGTTATATGGGTTGTTATCAGCAAAGGGGATCAACATGCCTTATAAGTTAAAAGTGGGATTACTACTATATTCAATATTTTTACTGAACAGGACCTTTACATGTCAACTCAGAAGTAGCCCCACTGAGATCAATGGGTCTTGCTCCCAGGTAAGTGTTTATAACACCACCTCCATCCTGATGCTCTCCAAATGTGTTGGAGTACAGCTCCTACATCCCTCCATGAGCATGGCCAGTTCCAAGATATCTGGAAGACACCAGGCTGGGGAAGGTTGGTGTGCAGAACTGCAGCCTTACTTCTTTGCCCAGAATAACTGGACAAGGACATGTTTGCATGTCTCTGCTTTAATTCATATCACTCAGTGTTTATGGAAAGCCTGTATCTCCATTTTTGCTAACAATGTTTTTCCTGAGGTGGCATTCCAGTTCTTAACCTCATTATTGTCACAGGGAGGAAGGTCAAGATCTCTTCTCACTGATACCAGAGTGTAGGACACAGAATAATCAAGTCAAATTGCAACAGCATAGGTTCAAGCTAGATATCAGGAAACATTTCCTCAGTGTCAGAGCAGTACAGCGGTGGAACCAGCTGCCTAAAGAGGTGGTAGGTGCTCCCACATTAGAGACATTCAAAAAGAAACTGGACAGCCATCTGAGTGGGATGGTGTAACATGGTGTCCTGCAACAGCAGGAGGTGGGACCCGATGACCTTCGTGGCCCCTTCCAACTCTACTGTTCTATAATTCTGTGATTCTATTCAATGTGTTAGTAGTGTTTAGTGATTTAGGCTTCAGGCAAATCTTACATATTTTTCTTGTTCTTGCCTTGCACAGGTGATGTTGAAGAACCTGTTGGCAGAAGGGGAGGCCAGAGAGTAATTTATGATGAAAAGAAGACCACCGTGTACAGCTATGCCTACTTCCATTTTGTGTTCTTCCTGGCTTCTCTTTATGTGATGATGACTGTTACACACTGGTTCCAGTAAGTCATTTGTTTTGGTTTTGGTTTTTGGAGGGAGTTTTGGACACAGCTAGTATAACACATTGGCTTTGTGTAAGACAGGTTGTATGAAATGAAAGATTACCTTAATCATAAGCCCATTCAGTGTCCTTGGGCAAACAACTGCTTTTTTCACACTAGCTCTTTTCCCTTCAAATGTGAGGCTAGTAACAGTTGACCTATTTTGCAAAAACTCTTCTTTGGATTATATAAATGCAAGACTTCAAGCTCTTCAAGCTCTTAGAATCATTGATCTGTTGTGTGTGCTTCATCTCCTGCCACTGATGAAGTGATGTGGGTAATGATAAACCTGGGTAAAGTGTTGATATTTTAATAAAAACAGGCAACTTATTATTAAAACCATTTTCCTTGCCAAAGTGATGCAGATGATCCAGTATGATATGGTTCCAGGGGTGGGGGATCAGGAAATTTATGATCCCATCAGCCTAATTTCTCATCTAGGTAAATTGGTAGAAAACATGATTAATAGTACAATTTTAAACTTACCTTGGAGTAAGCCTCATTCTGACTGATAGAAATAGTATGTTAGTGTTTAACCAGAATAGTGAAACATGCTAGGGATGGAAAAGGAGAACCTGAGTAAAATATTGCCTCGCCATCCTATTAGAAAACTTTGAGTGTGTCAACAAACATGTTTGCAAATCTGTTAACCTCCATTTATTGCTCTTGTTATAGTTACGAAAGTGCTGCAATTGAAAAATTCTTTGCTGGAACCTGGTCCATATTCTGGATTAAGATGGCTTCCTGTTGGCTGTGTGTTCTCCTCTATCTGTGGACACTTCTAGCTCCTTTCTGCTGTCCAACCAGAGAATTCTCCGTGTGAATCTTCTGCTTGCAAGCTCAGTGGTTTAGGGAATGGAGAAATAAGTCCATTTAGCAGCTATCAGACCATTGATGGTTAGGATACTGCTTTCTCTTTCATATTAAACCATACATTTTGAGAGTCTTTTAAAAATATTTAGATTATCTGTATTAAGAAAGCGTGAAGAAACTCATCTAGTCAAAAGCAGTCTGGAACTCAAGAGTATGGATACTGCTAAATATTCCACAATAAGCTTTAAAAGCATTTTGAAATCATAGACTGTCCATCGTGCAGATATTTTGTGCTTCTATAAAAAGCAAAATGAATCTATGTACATATGGGAAAGACTTTCCCTTTTGTGGTCTTGCATTAAGACTGATGCTCATGCATTACAGTCCTCACAGACATTGATATCTGCCTCCTTATGATTTTGCTGTCAAATGAACTAAATATCTGTGTAGAATGACAAGATGGAGTTTAAAATTTGATTGGGATCAAGTTACCATAGGTGGGGATAGTATCTGCTCAGTGGTTTCTTTTTCTATATTAGTTGCTCATAGTAAATTATTGCAAATGTGGATTAAGGAAGAAAAAATGTGGGTATAAAAATATTTATTTATGCTATTAATGAAAAGCACCTTTATGGATCACTGGGTAACACTGACTAGGATGTGAAACACTGTAAATGTCGGTGCAATTAGTTAGCAACTATTAGGAGCCACTCTGGGAGTAAACACTTCTAATGCAGTAATCCATACAGGACCAGTAAGCGACAGAATGTGAGTTCTTCCTATGGTATCTGAGCTATCTTAGCAGGTCTGAAGAATCTTCTATTTGGCAAGGTTGTTCAGTGAATACAGTCTGCAAGCTACCAATCTACAGATCAAATTAAAGTTAAATGTAGGGCCTAAGAAATCAAGTGAAGATTGGTACTACTAACCTTACCCTGACAAATTAATAGGAATATTAAACGTTAATTTGAAAGGGTTTTTTTGTTTCATTTGATCCATCACTAATTAGATCCCAGATTTAATCCCCAGGTATGTTTAATGTAATTCTTTAAAGTGCAACTATGGATCGAGACCGCAGAGGGAAATCATATTTAACTCATTGAAATGGTTATATCTGAGATCTTGAAAATATGTTTGCCTTTCTAACCTCTAATTAGGTAGCAGTTTGAAGATCATATCTTTCCTGTTCCTATCAAATTTCATTTGGAGATTTCATTATCAGAGGATCAGAGCTAACTTTTTAAAAGTTCCTTTTATGCTTGAAAAGAGTAATACTGGAGGAGAAAGCTCATAAATGTTGAAATAAATTAAGGCTGCTCCTATGCACTCTTGCTTGGAAGCATGCCACATAGAATACAACTGGACTTGATTCTGAATAAACATGTTTAGGATTGCACTCCAAGCTAATTTTTCTGTTGGGCCAAAGGTAAGCGTGCTTCGGATGTTAGCATATTGCTTGTTAGTTTTGTAAACACCAGCACATAAATTTTGCAAAATTATCATACGCCACTCCTTCAGAGCAAAAGAAATGATTGGCAGTTGTGCTATCTAGATCGCTATTGTTCTAGTAAAAGTTATCCACAGTAGCTTAATAGTTAAAAAGTGCATTCACAGTGTTTATGTTGCTCTCATGCTTTGGTTTTCATGTATTATAGCAATTGCAACAGCTGCTTTCATTCAATATTTCCTGATAATTGCAGATGGCAGCCATCTGTTGGCAATGGCAGAGCACCAGATTCCAAAGCAAGGAACAGTTCTTGCACCATCAGTTGTTTGGTTTTATCTTGCTCAGTTTTTATTTATTTTCTTCGTTTATTTTTTCCATTGTAATTTATGCAGGACTTGGAGTAACTTCTGAGAAATAGAGGTCATACCTGCAGAAGGCTGCTTTCTAGTACTTTCTTAATCAGGGTAAATTTTCTGAAGTAGGAAGCATCAGTGCTGCTCTAAGCAGCTTAGTATATACTAGACCCTGATAAATTTAGATAATCAGAGCATTAGAAGGAATCCAGGTTTGTGCATGTCTTTAAACCAGAGCTTTTCACAACTGCTTCTAATCAGATCCAGTAAGCATAGTAAATGCAGCTAATGTGTTAAAATTAAGTGTAACAACACCACCCACAAAACCCTTGGAGAACTGGGCTCCATGTATTTTCAGATTATATTAGAATTGGTATGCTTCTAATTGCATTTTAAATAACAATGTATACTGCACCAAGCGACTTTAATTACATTCAGGGTATTGGACTGCTGTGTCTCTGTGAACCCTACAGTTTGTTACTGTTTTAATGTTAAATGTGTTTGAAAACTGATAAAGCTTTCCATTCTCCAGGAGTGGTGTACATCCTAAAAGGGCCCTAAGGCTTCTTGGACAGAGCAGTGTCTTGCTGTTTTGAGTGTGCAGAAAATAGGGGCTGGCATAAGCTCAGGAAAAGGAATGGTGCTATTGTTTAAAAGTGACCTTTACCTTCCTCAGTTCTTGAAAGAATTTTTCCTTGGAAATAGCTCTGGCTTCTGCATCCTGATGTTTGGAGAGAGGAAAGGAATTTGTTTATTGTGATAGATTGTAACTACAAATGTCAGAGAGAGAGCAAGAGAATGTTGGCGCTCAGTTGTAACCCTACCAAAGGGAATCCCAGGGACCATTTTAAAATCTACTGAATTTCTTACACAACTGATTCACTTTCCTACTTCATAATGTGTCTGAAAATAGTAAGGCATCATGCATATGGTGAATCTGCAGAGGACAGAAAGAACTAATTTAGTTCAGCCTGTTTAATGTGTGAGAATTGGCACGTTAGCTTATTTGCATTGCCACATGACTTTTAAAAGCTGTATGTCCCACTAATACTAATAACTGAATACTATTAGTTATTAGTATACTTAATAATAATACTGATAACTGAAGCTGATGCTGTGGCACACACTGTTCCACATCTTGGCTCGTTAGTGCATTATCAAGAACTCACTTCCTGAAGTTCTTCAATTTTATTCAGTTGACTTTTTCGGTAAAGTCAGTGCTAACTGCCGTAGCTCATAAGCCATGTAAACAAGGGTTGTAGACCCTGTACATTGTCAAATTTAAATCTTGCCAGTATTTGAATGCCTTATTTTCATTTTTAAAAAGCCTGTTCAGTCATATGTCTGGGGTGTAGGTGGCACAGGCTGTTTTTGCCAAAGATTTACTCTACGCTCCCCTCACAAAATAGGGATAAGGAAATTATACAATACTGCAAGTAGACCATAAAAATACTCTACACAATGTAAACTATTAAATGTTTTATTGGCAGTTTTTGACAGCATGATGTAAAGCAAGTATGGAGTGCACTCTATCAGAAAATTCTCCTGTGCGACTTCTATTGAATGACTGGCAGCTATGTAACAACTTCCATTGCATTCCATACCTGTGCATTTCTGTGGGGTTCACACAAACAGACCTGATGGATTTGTGGCCAAGTCTCTCATAAAGCTGTCCTTTCTCTCTTCGAACCTACTATCAAGTTTTACTGTTTTAACTTCATAACTAATAGTTCTGTTTTTTATTTACAATGTCTTTTATGTCAGTTTTGAAGAATGGATACAGAATGCTTCATACATAGTTTTTTTAAAAAAACGTTTTCAGAATTTTTTAACAAATTTTTGATACAATCTAACTTTCAGGACAATTTTTGTTAAAAATTGGAGCTGAAACTGGTTACAGTTTGTGTTCTTCAACCTGTAGCAAATTGAAGGCTAAAATGGGGTGGGGGGTGTTGTTAAGACTTAAAGAGAAATCTTAAGTGTAAAACACGCAGTGTGTGTCATTTTTAAAGTGTTCTGTTGGGTTTTCTAGGGATAACTGCATATTGGGAAAGTATTATAGATGTGATTATTTAACTGACGAATAAACTCAAGTTGGTTCAAAATTGCACCTCGTCATGTTTTATATATTTATCTAGAAATCCTTTTTGTATTATTTTATTGAAATTTTTTAGTCTAAAACAGCTAAACTGTTTCAGTTTTCATTAAATGGGGAGCCCAAGATTCCACTAGGAAGATGAGTCACAAGAGCCATAGACTGGGTGGACACAAAAAACAATCAGTGATAACAGCCAGCTGTTGGTTGCCATACTGTGCAAACCGCGTGGTTTATGTTTTGGCAGTATTTCTTTTAAAATCCTCAGTAAGAACCCATGGCCTTAATTATTGTCTAAAGTCCTTGGCTCTTTAATTTTGTGACAGAAACTTGAAAGATATAATTGGGTGCTCCAACATTGCTAGGTAGAAGGTTCTGCTTGTTATATGGGCTACTGTGGTGTAAAAAAGAGGCCCCATGTAAAACCTAAGTAAAGTATAGTTTCTAAAAATAAACCCACTCACTTTCCAGTTGGAGCAGGAGTTAGCTAAGACCACTACATAAATATGGTTTCTAAATAGCACAAACCCCCTGCTTCTCTTTAATTACTTCCATCCTTTTGCTTTTTGAACAGAGTTCAGGATGACCTGCAAGGCTGTACTAGCTGCTAAACCCAAAACTGAGTATTCTGAAATACAGAAGTTTATGTAGTAGTATTATTTTTATCCCATCATCTTTCCTTCCAAGGAACTCAAGATGGCTTACATAATTCTCTTCATCCTCACAGCAATAATCTTGTGAGGTAGGCTGGGCTGGAAGTCTGTAGCAGTACTGGGAATCAGTCTCTCTCACACACCCACTTAATCAGGTACATGTAGGGGTGAGTTATGGGGAGAGTTGTTTGCATATATGCACATGGGGGTGAGTGACTGACTGAGGGCCCACCAGTTTGGAAGCAAAATGAGGCCACCCCCAAATGAAGTAATATTTCATCAGTGGGGCATGCCTATGCGCCCATAAGAATATATTTTAAAAATTGCAGTCCTGAGACAAAAACAGTTCAGCAAAGGTATATGCTAAGAGATCAATGGAATATTGAGTGTCACAGCTGAAAGGGGGCAAGAAACAAACCATTTCTCAGCCTAACCCCACGACTTAGTAATTGTGAGGATAAAATGGGCAGAAACCATGTTTGCCACCCTGAGCACCTTCGAGGAAGGCAGCATTTCATGCATACATAGCCCTGCCATGCATGTTTGTGTATTTGTAACATTAGGCGAGATGAAAATACTAATTTATCTTTTGCCTGAGCAACATCAAGATTTTGATTGCAGTATGAAAGACTCCTAATAAAACTTAAGGCATTTTTTTTAATTTGCCAAAGTATTCCTACAAAGTGTACAGTACAGTTCCTTCATGCTTCATGTAGAAAGCGCAAGCTAACTGTTGCCACCTAGTGGCCAGCTAATCATCCCATATAGTTACAGCGAGAAGTTACCCCTTTCAGTTTCTGGAATCAAAGAGGAAAGGTGTTACCAGGATACTGTTGGGAGACCCTGCACTTGTAAGCTGAAGTGGAACAGTCACACCTGGGTTTACTGTTTCCTCTGCTGTTTATGAGAGCTGTATCTTTATTTTATTTAGTTAGAATAGTTATTTTATTTACTTGAATAATGTAGAATGATTACTTCATCAATATTTGGACTTTTCAGTGATTTGATTTACTCCATTTAAACGACCAATTATTGTCATCCTCTGGATGACATGCAGGAAAATACTGAAAACTATTTACAATCACAGCTAGAAAAAATACAATTAGGAAGATACCATAAAGCAAAACTGAAATAATTTTTAAACAAAAAGAAATGCTAAAATAATCATGATGCATGTTAGAATTTCGGGAAAGCAAGGGAACACGCGGAAATGTTCACCCTATATCTGGAACATGGCACAGAAGCCATCTCCACCACCCTCGTGCCTGGCCAGGTATTTTAGTTAGACAGCCATTTTTGGCCATCTAGATAAACTGCCTGGGTTGGAGAGGAAACATGTTTGGAATACCAATGGGACCCAGCATTGGCCCTCACCCCCAACCCTCCTCCCAGCATGCCAGTTCCCCCACCCCAGTGCCACTGCTGCAACCTTGATGGAGCAACCAATGTGGATCTTTCTGTGCCAGCTTTTGGGGCATGACCAGGGCTTGGCCTTTGGAGCCCCAGAGGTGAGATCATTGGATCTTGGAACTGGGATGCCAAACAATCTTCTTGCCAGCCAGACAATGGGGAGAGGTGGCAGATCTGTGCTGTAAGGCAGGCATAATTAAACACAGCATAACACAAGCCTGGGAAAATGGAGATTTTCTGTTGCTTGGTTTTGAAAGGATAGTAAAGCATATGTCAAAGAGGCCTCTGTGTGACCGGGGCCCACTAACTCTTCAGAAGGCCTTTTCTCTTTTAACCAGCTACTATATCTTGGCTTGTAGAATCACTTTGAGCTCAGGCACTGTTAATAATTTTGGAGCATTCTGAGCATTTCTGAGGTTTTCCCTTTCTGCAAGGAAAGCCACACTTCTGTGCTGCAGCCACTTGGTGAAAAACAAAACACAGCTTAGGGAGCCCCAGTTTCCAAGCATGCTTTCTAATAAAGTGATTACAGGTGAATTTTTAAAGCCAAAAACCCTCACAAAGTTCATTGTTCTAAAATAAACTAATATAAGCTCTTCTGTTTCTCAAGCACAGTTTCTGGTGGCAAATTAATTATGGTGCTTGAGTTTTCTTGGGAAGATTGAACAGCTTGAAATGATCAGATTTTCAAAAAACACATGTCACTTAGGCCATAGCCAAAACAAAAATGTGAAACAACAAATATTTGGAAATTCATGGACTGGGATATTCTTGTGGCTCCCTCTGTGCTATATATAATCATAGTTAACTAAGGATTGCCTTAGTACCAGCCTCTGGTCATACAACTCAAGTTTATTTTTAAGTTTGTTGCCAGATTATTTTAATTTATAAGAAACCACAGCAACTATTGCCCCACTTTGCCTCATTTAATTATTGAGCCTTAGATATTATCATTAAAAGCTTCCATAGTCAAATGGGAAATATCAGCCCCACAACTATTGGAGCTACAATATGATTAACAATGTACCATTCTGCATTATTGGATATCATATGCAAGAATGAACAAGTAAATAAACTTTTAAGGGGTTGTGCAAAACTTACAGCTAGCCAAGAATATCCAAAGCAACACAGGCACTTCTGTCTCTAGCCGTGTATTGTGGAAAAGAAAGCCTAAGGCCATAGATTGAAAGTCTATACTTAGCAGCTGTTTGAGCACTCAGTAAGCTGGCTGACTTCATATGAAAGTAATGTTGGCTTCTCTTCATGACTCTGAAGTCAGCGAGAGCTAGATAACTTGAAAAATGGAAGCAAGGACTGTGTTTGAGGTAGTCTTCCTCAAACTGGTGCTCTCCAGATGTTTTAGACTTCAGTTCCCATCAGCTATAGCCAGCATGGTCAATAGTCAGGAATGCTGCAAGTTATACTCCAAAACATCTGGAGGGCACCAAGTTAGAGAAGTTTGGTAAAACATAATGGGATAGAAGACAAGCTCAAGCATTAAGATACCAGTCCTTTGACAGGGCAATCACTAGAGCACAGCGTGCATGTTGTAGCACAAGCTTAAGAGTATGCAAAAGTTGTAAGTGCACACAGTACATAGGCTAATCCATTGTTTAACTGAACTGCATCAACCAGCTGCTTGCAAAGGAAAGGGAGAGGGTAATTGAGGCCCTGCTCCTTTGCAAGTATCTGCCTGGTGAAATCCCAGCTTCCTTAAAGGACTACAGTTGATGTTCTTGGAGCTGGATGGGGAATCATGTATCCATGTTCTGCATTGTGTACACAATTTCTCAGCCCGTTAGGATATGCCTGCTTCTGTGCTTAAATGGACTTGGCTCCATCAGGACATCTCTGGACAATGATTAAGCTTAGTGACACCATTGTTGCACATTGAAAAGCTTCAGAGCCTGGCAGCCCTGGAACATGTCTGCATTCCTGTGTTTGGACTAACACTAGGTATGCATACATACAAGGAAAAAATGACCCCAGGGGTGAGCCAAGAAAGCAGGCAAGAAGTTTTGAAAGGGGGAAGTTTAGCTAGAAGTAGAAGTGGAGAAGGAAGAGATGTAGAACTGTTTTCTTCCGTGTCTCTAAAGTGATCTTCCGCTCTCAGGACTTCAATTGTGTTTGCAAGGTAAGCCCTTGAGTGGAAAGCTTCACGGTGTCTTTTCCTGGGGGAATAAGAATAGGGGTTACCAATAGGAAACACAACTAGTCTATGGCATGATTCTACTTTCTCCATTCCTCACCATAAGTAGCTTCTAGTTTTAAGAAATGGCCTTGGAAGACTGCTTTTCAGATAAAGGCATCACTACAAGTGGGCCCAGGCGACTTGTGCCTTAATCAACCTGGCTATTTCCTGGTGGAGGAGAGGCAGGCAGGCAGCATCAGGAAGCCAGACTGACCTGGCTAAGGAGAAATTGTGCTGGTCATTGAAAAGAATGGCTAGATGCACCTCCAAATTTGAGTCAGTGAATTTGGTTGACATTCAGCCCCTCCACCACTCTGACTAGTTGCCATTTTTGAGGGTGTACATAAGCATAAAAAACCGCTTGCCACCCACTCTTTTTACGTTAGTTTTCCACACAGTTCACAGACATTGGAAAGTAATTGTAATTGTAGAGGAACTATGGAGTTGAGGTGATCTGTGAGGAGGGGCAGCCAGTTAACAATAATTTCTTTTATTTAGAGTGATTTCAAAGGGAAATTAAGTTTGCCTTATGTGAAGTCAAATAAATTCTAGTATTTTAAAAGTTCAAAACCGCATATAAAGTAGGCTGTACAATTTGTTCTATGGGTTTATGTTCCTAAGACTTTTTAATGCATAGCAACATCTCGGTTTACATCTATGTTTACACCAGTTGATTCACATATATAACTATAGCAAGATTATATAACTACCTTAAAAGAGATTCAAAACACAATGAAATCCTATTTTATCTTTTTTATTTTCACATATATATCTGACAGTTTTACACCAATCGTAAGAAGTGCAGTGTAGACTTGCACCAAAAAATAATATAAGAATTTAATATATACTGCTTTATTGTTTGCCACAGCAACTTGCATTTTCAGTCTTTCTTAAATATCTCCAACTCCATATTGCTGAGCTTGAAATTCTTGGAAGTCTTCCGGGATGGTATCTGAAAATGAAAAAGGAGATAAATGATCAGTCTCTCTTGCTTCTGCAGAACTTTGAAAGTTCAGATCAGGAAATTGTGCATGCTATAACTATAATTTATAACAGCTATAATTTTTAATAAATCCTATCTTCCTGTTCATCAAGTATGTGGGCCAAACAACATAATGTTTAATGGGTCAGTCAATTCTTCCTCTCCAGTCTCAATACCAATGAACATGCATGCTGCAAAGAACGGTTACTTTTTGGCTGAAAAATTCTCCTGCACCAATGGGAACTTTCTTCCTAAAGCTAACTGTAGTATGTCCGATTATTACTGGGGCCATGGCATAGGAGGCAAGGGTGAAATGAGCCCTTGTCCTGTGCTGCAATCTTGAATGTTGGAAGGTGGCTGTGCCTAGGATTAATTTCAAGAAAGGCTCCAGTGAGAACCGCACATTTCATGTAATGTCTAGTTTAACCCTCATTGTGGTCTCTGCATGAGAAAGCACACCGCAGACAAGTCATATGGCCAGTACTGTGAGCTGCTGAATGCCAGATTACACATCACAGGGGCAGATTGGTCCTGCAGAATAATCCAAACAGGCACTGACAACCCTCATTCTCCCTGGAATAGGCCACTGGGGAACGTGACTAGCTGAGCACCACAGCTTGAAAGCCCTGAGTGCCTTCAGATAGCAGTGTTCAGCCCTGCTCTATCGGCTTTTCCAGGAAGTGCCAGAAGGAGAGGATGGGCTGCTTGTTTTTGCCAGTTTGGCCCTGTGTGGCCAAGAATCTCCTGGCATCTTCATGACAGAGCTGCTAAACAACTCCCACTCTTCCTCCCAGCTTTAGATCCAAGCTTTAGAGTCATCATGCAGCTTCAGCTTCCCATTGGAAGAAAAGTTCACCACTCATCATACTTGCCAGCGGAAAGTGCCACACTTAAGCACAGTGGAAGCAGAACTGTGAGCCAGTGTGGTGTAGTGGTTAAGAGCATGGGACTGGGACTCAGATGATCTGGGTTCTAGTCCCCGCTCAGCCATGGAGCCAACTGGGTGACTTTGGGCCAGTCACAGACTCTCAGCCCAACCTACTTCACAGGGTTGTTGTGGGGATAAGATGGAGGAGGAGAATGATGTAAGCTGCCTTGAGCCCTTGGTAGGAAAAAGGCATGATATAACTTAAAAAAAACTGCTGAAACTTACACAGTTGTCCACTCACAACTGGACATACTGTGTAGGAAGACATAAAATATCTGGAAACAAGTCCCACTCACTCCTTAGCTGTCAATAACTCTACACCTTTCTTTATAATCTATTCAACATCGATGAAGATGTTCTGAATGGCAGGTTTGTTCAGCCCTTTGTAAACTCCCTTCTATGGTGTGGGGCAAGCGGTATTGGGGAGACAACTACCTGAACACCTACATTTTAGAACTCTTCAGGAGCGATTTAGGGAAGGACCAATTCATGTTTACATATAACAAAAATGTTTAGCATGGTAGAACTATTACTGTAATTGTTGTTTTAAAGTGATGATTTAAATGCACATTTTTAGCTCTTTGGATGCCAGAATGCCTCCACAGCCTTGTGTTTACAAGAGCTGAGTGGAGCCCTCAAGGACAGGGCAGGTCGGAGGGCATTCATTCCTAAGGACGCCTTAAGTTAGAGACAACTTGGCAGGGAATGTTTAGGGACAAATTATATTTATGCAGCAAATAAGACATTAACTTAACCCACATCTGTAAGCTTAGAAACATGCTAAGTCGCATTACACATAAGGCATTTCATATGATTCAAAAATGCACAGGCGCATCCACCCAAGCTTCCTACAGCAGTTCTTTCCATGTCTGCTCATTTAATAAAGCATAAGGATAGTGCCAGTGAAATGTTACCATTACAGCGATACTTCAGATTGGACCAAATAATGTTTTCCTGAGAGAAGCAGAAAACACCAAGTCTTCCTCCACGCATGGTGGTGTCTATAGTTACTCCAGAATCTGCCACCAGATCGGAACCTTCATAAAATCTTGCCCTTTGAAAAACGAGTGCATAACACCATTATTTTATGTCTTCTGATCCCCCGTGCACACACATACAGAAGCCATTCCCTCTACATTCAGTGGATCTTACTCCCAGGCCAGTGTGCTCACATAAAAATGCATTGTCTGAAATGGCCTACTAAGTGAAAGCATTTAATGCAACTTGGAATGTCCCAGACACGGAGTGCTGGTCATTTCCAAAGCTTCCACAGCCTTTCAACCAATACATGCACTCTTCATCTCTTTTATATCATCTGTTGTGGCCGGTTACAATGGCAACTTCAGGACCAAATGACAAAATCACAGGTGCATGGGCATGCACACAGGGCCACAAAGACCAACATGAACATTTTGTAAAACAAAGTCCTTCTGGGCAGCATCACTTTACCTAATATAGCCAACCTGAGGTCTGTGCTGCAGGAACCAGCGATAGGAAACTTTATCTTTCCAGCCTACATTTCGAGGGTCTTTCCATAGCAATCTAACTTGGTCATTCGTGTCCCCTGTGTGCCAAAGTGAATTTCTAAGGTGTTCCCCAGGCCCAGTCTTTGATTTAACAGCCTACAGAACAACAAATATAAAGACAATTCAAAAAGATGAAACAGCCTTCAACAACATCTCCCCTCCCCTTCCTGACAGTTCTGAGGAAAACAGAAGCTTTTATTATCTTTCCATTATGTAATGGGAAAACAGGTACCCAACAAACCAATGTTAGGAAACTACAACAGACAACCATTCTGCCAAATTCATCTTAGCCACTGCTAGATGACAGCATTGATGAGATTTTGGTCATTTTGCCTCAAGCCATACCTTCAGCTGAATTCCAGGTTCTGCAACAGCTCTAAAAGGAGTTGCTTGCCAATAGGTCTGCTCAGTCTGTTTCCACATCACCACATAAAAGCTGGAGCTGTCTTGATAGCCAAAAATGAACCCAGCATAGTCATCATCTGTCACTGTGTTCACATGGAAGGTACCTTCGAAATCGACTCCATTGAACGCTGTGTAACCTGTTCAATGTATATGTCTATGTATCAGGTCCAAATACAACTTTGATATATTAACGTGTGTTATTCCTTTGTATTTAATAGACCCAAATCAAGTCACCAGAAAGATTTGTTAATACGCAGACAGTATATTAACAAAGAGAATTTGACCACTGGTCTCGCTAGCCCATTACTGTCTACTTCAGTCTTCGCCATCCTGGTGCTGACTGGGAATTTTGGGAATATCTGGAGGGCCTCAGATACATCTGGCAAATAACTGGAAAGCATCAGATATCCAACATATCTGGAGCGCAACAGATTGGAAAATGCTCCTTGCTGTGCTGCAGAATTTCAGCCCTGCTATATTGAGAGTCTCTTCCCAGAAACGCTGCAGAGACTGCCTTTCTCCTGCTTTTAGCATAGTGGCCCGATGCTTGAACTGGTTCTGGAGTGCTTTCCCCCTCTCCATGCCTAACAAAATATTAGTGTTCTTAGAACTGAACATATTCGACTGTTTAAGTACGATGACTATGCTGCCTGGGAATCCCAGGAGATATGGAGGGCCCCAGGTCACGGAAGCCTGGTATACAGTGAAGATGCACTTTTCTTGCATCCTGGATGTCATGTGCATGAGAGGTATCTCTCTAGCAATGATCTGAGCCAATGATGTGATGATCCATGAACAGAAACCTGCTTCTCTTTGTGGTTTGCTATGTGGACATCTACAGAACAGTCTGTACGTACCAACAGCAAGTCCTGGATCACTGTTCATAGTTTGCACAATCTCCATACCCTGTAAAAAATTAAGTAATATTGTTAATGAAACAAAGAACTGTAGCAAAGTTGTTCTGTCTCCTGCAGTCATACCCAAAAGGATGGATAAAACTGATTAATACAAACCTCTTCTACTCATATATGGGGAATTGCCAGCTTCTGTCTCACATACTTCCACCTGTAGCCTTTGTCCTTCCCACCTGCAAATCTGTTCCAAGCGTGAGGGGGCCCACAGAACCCTCTGCAATGTGGCATGGGGGAACTGAAGCTGAAGGGAATATCCGAGATCACTCACATGACCAGATCTTCCATTCATACCAGTGGAGGGATCAATCCAAAGTCTGACATACATTTTTTGCAAAATTATTTTAATTAATGGAGATTATTAACTTCGGTTTATTAGTGAACTTGACTGGTTCTTTGCCAAAAGGATCCCAATAGTTTTCTTTTGATATTCCTCAAGTCATTTAAAAGCCAAAGAGAATCATAATTCTGAAAAGTTTGGAAATATGTCTTTCTTTCATTCACAGTCTATAATTCCTGGCTACTTTTAGATATCAAAAATGCTTCACCTGGTTCAGAACTACCCAGTTTGGATCAATCTGTGCATCCCCTTCTGGATCCAGGACAACAGTCTGATAAGCTCTGAAATCGGTCAGGGTGATCTCTGCATTCTCAGGACAAACATCAATCCTATCGATCACTGTATCTTGATCAAAATCCGATTCACAGATGTCACCAATTCCATCACCTAGAGACACAGATGGAACACTTGAGCAATGTCATTTGGCAGCCGCTGTTCAAACAGCTATTTGGTAGCAGAAGGTTGACCAGTAGATAGTAGCACATGTTCCTTAGCAAGCCACAGTGATATGCAAGAACTATATGAGGCTGCTGTGGCAAGGACCAATTGCTAGATGCCTCCTGCTGGGGAAGGGAGAGGTGCTGCATCTTCAGTATGCCAAAGCAGACTGGGTGGGGCATTAGGAAATGAAACCAAAGGGAAGAAAGAGCAAGAGGCTGAGTTAGCCGTCCAAAGAGTTAGGATCCCAGTGGGAGTTGAGTATGTGGCTGCATTAAGCCACCCGCAAATAACCGTGGAAACCTCTTGGAGAGGCCAGCTTGCAGAGTCGCTCCTTTTTGGGTTTTGCCGACTACACTGAGGCAGAGAACAGGGAGGGCAGCCCCTGGGATACTACCTGGCAAGGAAGTAGGTGAGGATAGGTAAATACCTGGATGTGAGGCACAAACCGAAATGGATTCTTACAATGCGTCTAGAGGGACTGTTTGCACATAAAATCAGGGCATAAGTGAGTAGAAGCAATAGTGAGACCACTCTGAAGAAACCCTCCCTGGAACCAGAAGATCCTAACAACTTTAGGCAGGTGGCAAATATTTCTTTCCTGGGCAGGGTTCTTGAGCAGGTGGCTACCAATCAACTCCTGGCATTCTTGGATGCGACCGATTATCTGGATCCATTTCAATCAGGGTTCAGCCCTGGTTTTGGCATGAAAACAACCTTGGTCGCCCCAGATCACTCTGTTCATGCACAGAGATTCATTTTCTGGTGGTTATAGCTGTCTTTGGAAATAAAGAGCTCTTAAGCAAAAAGATTGCTGTTTGAAAGGAAGTAAGGGGGAAACCCAGCTCCCAACAGGGGTACTCCTTGAGCCGTCTTTGTCACTTGAGTGGCTCAGACTACCTTCTATCAGCTTCAGGGGTGGCTCAGCTATGCCCATAGCTGGACACAGACAGCCTAGCTTCAGTAATCCACACTCTGGTAATCTCTAAATGAGGTGACTGCAATGCACTGTACATGGAACTACCCTTGAAGGTAATTCAGATGCTGCAGCTGGTGGAGAATGCAACAGACAGATTAATAACCAGGACCCAAAGGTCCAAACACATATGAGACCAGTTCTGGCTCACCTGCAATGGCTGCATGTATGCTTTTGGTCCCAATTCTGTATAGCCTGAAGGGCCTGATCCTGCCTGATCTTGGAAGCTGAGCAGGGTTGGGCCTGGTTAAAATCTGGATGGGTTACTTAAATGTTGTGAACCACAAACACCAAATTGAGGAAATGAGCAAAATATGCTTCAGCCAAATACCAAATTGAGGAAATGAGCAAAATATGCTTCAGCCAAATACCAAATTGAGGAAATGAGCAAAATATGCGTTTTGTCAAAGGTCAAAGCATAAAAATATGCATTCTCAGGGATGTACATATTTGGGGGGATTTACACAAGTCTAAAAGCTTGCATTTCCACAAGGGTGAATTTGCACAAAAACACATGAGGGCATTTGTGCAAAATCTGATTCGGTTAATGAATAGGCAATGGAAGAAAAGGCAGCTGGCAGTTTGCAAAACGTAAGGGGAATGGATTTATCAACACCCATCTATCCCTACCTCTCCAGGATCTTTATGATAATAAGGAGCTATGCTGCCACAATGTATGCAGTGCACTAAAAAGGGAAATTGACATGGAAATAAAAGAAGAGGGAGAAAGAAGGAAAAGGTCAGGCTTACTGTTGTCATCTTCCTGCCCTGGGTTAGGAACCAGCCGGCAATTGTCTGGGCCTGGAGGGACGAGGTCTGGAACCCCGTCATTATCATCATCATCATCACATTCATCTCCCAGCCCATCCTTATCCGTGTCCAGCTGGGAGCTGTTAATGACCATTGGGCAGTTGTCTGAACTGTCCTGATGCCCATCACCATCACTAGGAAGAGAAAGACGTTTGGGGAAAAACTCTGTTACCATCTTATGTCCCTAAAGGGCAAACAACAAATTCCATGAGTTGTACAGGTGAGGCTTATCTGTTTCTTTAATTTTACAGTAACTGCATATGACCTTGATTTAGATCGCAGCAGTGACCCCCCAAACCCCCCCAATGACCACTATTTGCTTCCGAAAATTCCCTTCCCACACGGGGTTGAAACGAGAAAAAAAGTATCCACTGACTTTAATGGAAACTGGGCTTTTAAAAACTCTTTTGTGTGTATGTGTGGAAGTTGGGGGTGGAAACTAAACAGTGTGGGGGTGAGGTATAATTGCTCTCTGGTGGGCACTAGTCCTAAACTGAGTGAGGGCTGCACATACTGAAGGTGGAGGTTAAAAAAAGAGATGATCCTTGGCTGCATAATGAACATAACCCTACTATAGGGATTTGGGCCAAACCTGGGTCTATCATTGAGAAGGAAGGAGCTTGTCGTCTCATTATGTGTAGGACTCTATGTCATGGCGGTTAATTCTAGCAGGCAGGCAAAACTTTCTTATGTAAGGTAGAAAGGTAAAAGATCATGTGATCTCAAGAAACCACTAGAGTTTTCTTCACCCAAAGTACATCCTAGGACACGCTATGCTGAAGCCAGACATGAAGATTAATGCTTATCAAGTTCATTTCTATCTAATTATAGCAAACAGATCTGATCCAGAACTGAAGCATTCATCCTTAACAAGGGTCAATCCCTTACATTAAGGCCCAGCAGATGATTTCTGGATTCCTTGCTGTCTTTTCTTGCTTTGCACTTGTAATATATACTGCCAAAACAGACTTTGTTGCATTACTTCTCTGTTCCTGCCCCAATCCTATATTGGGAAATCTGTTTTCTGTCTGAAACAGCACTACTTTGAATAACACTATGTATTTGCCACTAAGTTTCTACTCTCCTGATTTAAATAATCGTAACAACAAAGGTCAAACTGGAAGAGACAGGAGAAATCATTGCTTTCTTTATTTACTTTTTCAAAGCTGAATGGTAGGATTGGTTAAGGCCTGTTGTGTTCAGTGACGCCACACTTTCCCCCATATTTTTCCCTAGAATGAATTCTACCACTTCCACAGTTACCCATTTCCCCTAACTTGGCAAATAGCAGCTTGGGGAAGATGATATAAAACATGAAAATGACATTAGGATAGGGGAAGTTAATTGCTATTCACACACACACACACACACACTCCTCTCACACCATGAGTATTTCTAAAATAAATTAAAATGTGCAAGATCCAGTAATGGATGGGACCAAATTTGACATGGGGGCAGACATGCTGGGGAAATACATTACAATTTATATATTTATTGATTCCAGCAATGATAGTACAATGAACTGAAAACAATCAAAGTCTAATTTTCCACCTTGACAGAACACTGGAATCAGTAAACACACATTGGTTGGCACCAGAATATAGTCTAATTGGGTAGCATCCTTTTTTGTATTAGATCAAAGTTTACCTTACCTGTCTTGATTGGTGTCACAGGAATCCCCTATCAAATCATTGTCAGTGTCTGACTGTAAACCAAAATAAATAAAATTTAAATAATGCTACCTTGCAAAGGGAGAAAGTATGTAATTACTTTGCAAGTTATTACAATTCAACATAAGTTTTTCAATAATCTATGTTAGCAGGGAACTAATATTCACAAAGATGGAAATATGGATTCCAGCTATGTATAACTTATTTTTTCTGTAAGCACAGAACATTCCCCTCAAAATATCCTCTTTTTCAGTTGTTAACAATAAGATTGCAATTAAAGCCCTACAAATCAGTTAGTACTCGATTACATCTAATCTAATCTCAGCCATTTGAACCAAGAAGGGCTTAGAAGCAGAGCACATATTTTTAATGTGGAAAAGATACTCACCTGATTCTTGGACTATCAGGGCTAGAGTAAGGGCTAGAGAGACCCATCATGGACTCAGAATGCTGCAGCTTCAGATACTGTACCTTTGCAGGCTACTCAGTTAAAATTTTACCATACACCTCTATATATGCACTGATGCATCTGATTTTGGGTCAAAGTCCCATATTGCACAGGAAATTCATGACTAAAGCTGTGTCATGGTGCAGACTAAAACACTTACAATATTATAACATTTTTTTCTGAATGCATGCTGGCAAAGGAAACCTGAATATTTCTTTATTAATGACCTCATTAATAAAAGGTGGATGAACTCCACATATATAACCTTGCAGAAACTGATACAATCCTTCTTTCTGTGAGACAATCAATAGGTAATTAGTTGTTCTTAACTGGTTTTTGTTTTCTAAATATTTTATGCAGTTTGGTTTCTCTTGTGCTGTTGGTTATCTGATGATATTTTCATGCTTTGTGTTTATAATGCATTGTTATGACAGTAGGAACAGACAATAATCTTACACATATCTTAGATTTACATTCTGATCATTACTTCTGCCAAAGATCAATGGCTTTAATCGGTTTTTTTTTTTGTTAACCATCATGAGATTCTTAATGGAAGATGGTAAAGAAAATTTTAAGATACATAAATAATTTCCTGCAGTTCTTCTGCAGTCACTCACCTGATTGGGGTTGCTAATATTTGGGCAACTATCGCAAGCATCACCAACACCATCATTATCACTGTCTGTCTGCTCCTGATTAGGAACCTTCTGGCAGTTGTCCAAAACGTTCTTAATACCTGAATGAAATGATGGCAAACAATCAGTATTGTCTTTAGAATGCTTCATCAGTTCATAGTGTGGCACAGTAGACTGCTCACTGGATAAGATCTCAAAAACCTTGTTTCAAATCGCTATTTGGTCACTAAAAACCTTAGGTCAGTTTCAAACCCCCTTAGGTCAGCTTCTAAATATTCTTGTAAGAATAAAATGGGGTAACTCCATAGGGCACTCTGAGTTTCTTGGAAAAATAACAAAAACATGTTGATGGCATTATTATTCTTATACATGATGAGTTAGATCCAGATACAAGCATATCCCAAATAGACCCACTGAAATCAATAAGCTTAAATTAGTCATGCCTAATACAAGTCTCATTGGTTTTGATTGTTCCACTTTAACCCCTTAAACCAAAAGACTAGCCTGAGTTGCTTCATGGGATCATTTTTGACCCCACTAGAAAGTGCACCAGGAAAGACAGATGCTGCATCTGGAAAACCTTTGCTCTGGATGGAATTTTTCCTCAAGGTGCCGCAATCTACATAAGAATGGCTTTCAGCTATCATTAAGTATAGGTAATTTAAGGACTAATTTTTCTGGCTATGAAAATTGAAATTTGTGTAACAGTAGCGTACTGATTGATTTTATTTCAGCATAACAACAGTTTGGCCTACTAACTTTACAAAATCATAGCACACTTCCCTTCACTGGATTTTAATTCCGTTTACTGGAGGTTTTATAGCTAAGAATCTCATTTTTAAAATGAGACCAAGATGATTTGCATTGAACCTTGCATTGAGCCATCTGAGAGGGCTATTGATTGGGATGTAAAAGTGCCCCACACAGCTTTTTGCTGTTGTTGAGAATCTGGAGTACTTTTGTGCCCCAGGCATGTTTGTTTCACTTTTTTTAAAAAGGAGGATGCTGAAATTTGGAAACATTTTAGGGTAGACACTTTCTGACTGTGCCACAAGAGAATGAGTTGGTAGAACTACTTATGTGTAAATTATAGTACATAATGTGAGCTAGGTACAGAAAAGGGCAACAAAACTGATCAGGGGGCTGCTGTGCTACAGCTCTCTTAAGAGAAGCGGCTACAACTGGAACTGTTCAGCTTGGAAAAAAATGCAAATAAGGGGAGACATGATAGAAGTGTTTAAAATAATGCATGGTGTGAAGAAAGTAGAGAGGGTGATATTTTTCTCCCTCTGCCATAACATTCAAACTTGGAGTCCCCCCAGAAGGCTAACTGGTGGGAAGTTTAGGACAGATAAAAGCAAGTACTTTTCATACAACATATAGTTAAACTATGGAATTTGTTGCCATGAGAAGTGGTGACTGCTGCCAATCTGAATGCCTTTAAGAAGGGATTGGTCATGAGGGATTCATAAGGAATGAGAATATCAGCATCTACTGGCCTTGCTGGCTATGTGCTACCACTTTCTACCAGAGATGGCATGCCTGCATGCATCAGTTACTGAGGCAGGTGGAGGTCTTGCACCCATCCCGCTTGAGGGATCCTGTGAGCAGCTGGCTTGCCTGCATGTGCACAGAGGGTTGAACTAGATGGACCTTTGGTCTGATCCAGCATGACTCTTCCTATGTTCTTAGGGTGATTCCAGTTACCCCAGAATGTGGGATGAGATTTAATACAACTACATCTGAATTCAGTCTGATGGTGATGACGACACTATTATTTTATCATCATCATTACTGGCCACAGTCCAGTGTGCCTGGAAAATCTTTAGGTGCTTTACTGGTTTTCAATTGTGTCTACAGGCCATCATTATATGGCTGCTTCCTCTCAGTCTTTAGGAGAGGTCTTAGGGAAGCTGAGAACTGCCAGGGAAAACCCCCACTGTATGTATTGAAGCCCAAAGGCCAGTTGCGAAGCATACCCTTTAATGCTATGTACTCTCTATGTGAGTTTTAGGTCTGGTACGGGACTGAAGATTTACCCACCATCTCCATCCATGTCATCGTCACAGGCATCTCCTTTGCCATCTCCATCAGTGTCTCGCTGGTCATTGTTTAAGACCATGCGGCAATTGTCACAAGCGTCGCCAAAGATATCCTGGTCACTATTTCTCTGGTTAACATTAGAAGCCAGCACACAGTTATCCTGAAACAAAAGAAAGCAAACTACTTTTCACTACAGCACCGAAACAGCACTAGCATCCATCATTGGTCATTATCGGCTTTTCTTTTGCAAGCAACAATGAGCAGATACAATTAAGTCTCAGGTTTTAGTTCCGTCAAAGACTAAAATATAAATTGTGGCCAAAGCCGACTTCGAAACATCAAGTGAAATAATCATCTAAAAAAGTTGTTATATATACTCTGAATACAGAAAGTTAACAATATTTTGTTTTGTTTTGCAGACTAAAGGTTAAACGTCAAGACATGAAAGATAGTAATAGCTAAGTCACAATTCTATGCAGAGCACAACAAATGAATACACAACCCAATCAAACCAGCCCAAGATCCAACCAACTGGGTGTGACCCACTCCCAGCTGATACCCCCAGTCAGCATTTGACACAGCAAGATTAATAACAGAAAGAAATACAGTGGTACCCCAGCTCACGAACGCCTCAGTTCACGACCAAAATTTCATAAAAACTTTGACTCGGGTCACCAACTCTGCATCAGGCGGCGACTGCAATTGCGGCCATCTCCCCACCCCCTCAAGTGGGGAGATGGCCGTGATTATGCTGGGGGCAAGGGAGAGATGGCTGAGATCGCACCCGTCTTTCCTGCATGAGTGCACCGTGATTGTGCCCGTCTTTCCTGCACGAGTGCAAATGTGATCTCGGCCATCTCCCCACCTCCCCAGTGCACCCACGTTGGCGCCCGTCTCTCCCCCCCCCCCAGCGTGCCGGGAGGGGCGGGCCAATTGCAGTCGTGTGGGGGGGGGGGGGCGGGGAGATGGCCGCGATCTTTGTTGTTCTTTGTCACTTTGCTCCACATTTTTCTGATAAAAAAAAAGTTACAGAACGGATTAACCTTATTTACATTGAACCTTATTTACATATGGGGAAATTTAACTTGGTTCACAACCCATTTGGGTCACAACCAGGACTCTGGTTCATGAGCCAAGGTACCACTGTACCTATGCAGGGATAGTATCTTTCTGTAGTGAGCTACCTACTGTCAGTCTCATTTGAATCCAAGTTCCCCAGCTTCAAAGTTGTTAATGAAGCCATTGCAGTTCTGTGGCTCACACTCGAATCTTCCTGTGAAACCTTTTTGCTGATGAACAGCAACTCTTAAAAGTTTGCTTCGGGATGTCTGCTCCTGAGACTGAAATGGTCCCCGCTCCATTTCAATTAGCAAATTTGACTGTCAGTTCAGTCCATTTTTCTCCGTTACACACTGACTAACCTGTTTAGGGTACATCAGTGGCAAATGAGCAATGTTGGTAGATGGGAATGTTGTTTTCAATTCGCAAATTACTTGATATGCCCCATTCATGATCCCAAAACTGAACAGAAATGCATGTTCCCAGATTGTACACAAAATTCCCAAAATTTGTAAAATGTGCATGCTAAAAATGCACAACTTTAAAAAGCACAACTTTTGGAAGATGTACACTATTCAAACAAACTTGCAAACAAAGTCATGAGAAACCAAACAAGCTCAAGCATTACTGGTTCTACCATCTCTTTTTGTAGGTGATATCATATTGCATTATGCTCAGGTGAATCAATGTTTGCTAGGATGGTTTATGTTGTCGAGTTTTGTGAAAGCATCATTGGAGGCATGTAAATGATGAACAATAAATAATTACTTAGATCTAGATTTAGTCAAGCATAGATTGATTTCAATGAGTCTACTGTAAGCTTGATTAGGCCTGAACTGAAGCCAGTAGCTATAACTGGTACCTGATCATTAGGAACGCCATCTCCATCAGCATCATCATCACAGGCATCTCCTATTCCATCTCCATCAGCATCTTCTTGACCAGAGTTTGGCACAAATTTGCAGTTGTCCTACGGGGAAAATGAGGGGCATTTAAAAGCAAGGTTCAGAGCAGTCTTCCTCACCCACTCACCTTCCAGTTCCATTTGACTACACCTGTGGAGGCTGCATCTGGATTCTAGAGCAAGCATTTAAGGAGCAATCCATGGGACTGACTCCCACCCCTCAAACAGTACCATGGAGAGCTCCCCAACATTCAAACTAAAATCTGGCGTGCTCTTCAACCCCTGCTGATCACAGCAATGGCAGTTGCAGTGCAACGCATCTGAAGAGCAGTAGGGTAGCAAAAGCAGATTTAGGGAGGGTGCTGACTTTCTCTTCCTCCAAAGTACTTCATCAATAGAATGGTGGCCTAAAATGAAGCAAACACTGACATGTAGCCTCTGTTTCAATCCTCTCTTCCAGACCCATAAGAATGTCCTACCTTTCTGCAGCTTTCAGCTGAGCAGGGAAGTTCTTCATCAGGATATCCATCAATATCAAGATCTTTTCCACACACATAGCCATTACCAGCCCAGCCAATGCCACACTGTGAGAAAACACATTGGAGAAAGAAAGCAAGGCTGAGGACCACATTCTGCCACACAGTCCTCTTTGCTGGAGACTTGCAACATGCTTCCAAGGGGACAGCACAATTATATACAAAGACATACATCAAATGCTTTTGGGCAGAAGAATTCTACAGTTTAATGTGGAAGCTCAGCTGGCAAGGGAAAATGGCCAAGGAAGCCGCAATTTTCTTTTTCCATTTCTTTTCTTTCTTAAACCATTTTGCTCCTACTTCAATGGATGGGAAATGAACTATATCAGCTTCAGATTTGGTATGTTGTTGTTGTTGTTGTTAGTTGCGAAGTCGTGTCCGACCCATCGCGACCCCATGGACAACATTCCTCCAGGTCTTCCTGTCCTCCACCATCTCCCGGAGTCCACCCAAGCTCACACCAACTGCTTCAGTGACTCCATCTAGCCACCTCATCCTCTGCCGTCCCCTTCTTCTTTGCCATCTATTGTTCCCAGCATTAGGCTCTTCTCCATGGAGTCCTTCCTTCTCATTAGGTGGCCAAAGTATTTGAGTTTCAAGCAGTTAATTCATTCAAAGCACAATCCTATTCTTCTTGGGACATAGTCCCAGAGGCCATAATTATCAGGTTTGGTATAGATCTCCCTATAATTATGGCCACTGGGACTATGTCCCAAGAAGAATAGGATTGTGCTTTGAATGAATTAACTGCTTTTAAAAAAAGATGGAGCTATATACAAGGTTCAACAGATAGCACAATGTAAGGTCCATTTATTTATTTAAAGCTTTTATATACTGTCCTGCACTAAAAGTCCAGGATGGTAGATAAAAAGTAAACCTTCAAACATGATTTTATTAAAGGATGTCAAAATAGCATTGTTGTTTGCTTTACACTCAATTGCAATTAATGGACAAAGTTATAAAAATTCTGCAGGCATAATGACCTATAAAACATGATGTCTCCTTGCCTTATAGATTGAACTACACTAGCATCAAGTTATTAAAAGATTCTGTAACAGCATCAACTTACAACACAGAGAATGTCTCCTTGTCTTACTTCAGAACATTGGGCATGGATACTACAAGGATTCAGGACTCGATTCCTGCAGCTTTGCTCAGCCCTGCACCCCCTGACCTGGTCACCAGAAAATCCTGGCTTGCAAGCACCACAGTGGTAAGAACCCTTGGAAGAAAGCAAACAAGTCAATAGCTAGTCATTCACTGCTTTTAACTTGGGCTGTTGCCCTATTGAACAACTCTCAATTAATTAATTATTGATTGCATTTACAAAAGCAAGATTTCTGATTTAAAAAGCATATTTCATATTTGTTTTTAAATACAACTATCACAGGGACTATTTTAGGAAAGGAGTAGGTAGGCATTGGGCTCATGAATTTTTTTTTTTCCAGGAGAACCCTGAGATCAACCTACCAGAGCCAGATAAGAAATAATGGCTGAAGTAGGCAGACATATGGTATGAATTAAGCAAAAGATGCCTGAGCATATACTCAGCCCAGGAATTTGAGGTACGTTCCAGAACCAAGTTCACAAGTTCTTGCACATGAAAACTGACTCCTGGTTTTCCCTCAAGCAGTATAAAACAACCAGGGCACATGATTTTTAAAGCACTCCATTGGGTTTTCTAGGAGTAATTGCTTACTGAAAAACTGCTATAAATGTAATTGTTCAGCCAACCAATTTATTTGTCTAAAATTGCAACTGGGGGGACTTTATGTATTCATTATCTAGAAATACTTTCTGGACTATTTTAATTAAATGTCTACTTTGAAATAGCAACACTATTTCAGCTTTCAATATTGTTGGAAAGAAAAGGTTTCACTGGGTGGAGGAGAACAAAACAACTCAAGATTCAAAGGCCTGCTCCTAGATAATAGTTTTTATTAAATTGCAAAAATAAACTTGCATTTCCAGGGTCACCATGTCAACCCAAGAAGCATCCTGCAACTTCATATCATAATGAGCTTCTGAGTTGTGTTTACAAGAGGTATTCTCTCTCATGCAAAAGAGAATGGGAATGACCTTTTAAGAAGGCGCTTGCTATCTCCAGTTCCATCTATTAAAAATAGTGCATCTTTAAAAATTCCTTGCCTGATTCACTGCAGGCATCCCTATAATCATTCAAAGGGTTCTTAAAAACAAGGATTATCAATTACAAGGTACAACCCCAGTTTTAACTAGCTTCCATTTGCTATCTCAAAACCCAGCAACTACTTCAGAATTACTTGTGTCACCAGTTTTTTTAATGTGGTGAATGGTTTGTTTCATGTGGTGACATTGGGTGTGCATGACATGCAACCAACCAAGTCAAATGTGGCCCCACCAGTCATGCATGGTATTACAGGGTCAACAGACCTCAAATATATGCTGCTCACCTGGGACTGCAAAAAGTGGCAGGAGTCAGATGACTGTCCAAATACATTTGGCTAGGTGTTACCCGAGCTGTGTACAGAACTTCCTTATGCTACTTAGATGAGGTTCACTTCTGCTTCTGATGTACTCAGTTTTGTAAGATGGATGAAATTCAGGTATGGATAGCCAAAGAGAAAAATACCACATTCCTGTCCACTATCCTGGGTACATAAACAGTGCCTGGCTACCACTTGCATGAAAGCCTCAAATGTACTTGCTTACTCTATGTTCTCTTGACTGAAAAGGACAGACTCTTCAAACATATCCTGCTTCTGCTGAGAAGCAGAGTTTATATAAACAGAAAGCTATGATGATACTCGTACGAACACAAGTACGGATGTGTTCACAACCTTAATAGCCTTGAAGAGAGGAATCCTATGACTGCTAAACATTGTCTGAGGGGCCACAGGATAGTGGGGGTTTGCTCCTCTGAGGCAGGAAGCAGCATTCCAACTTCAGGAAAGGCAACTGGAGATCTGACCCCTCACAGTGGATAAGGAAAGAATCATGCCAATTGCCTTCTGAGGCCAGAAAAGCATCCCTGGAGAGGGAAAAGAGGTCATTTTGGTGAGAAGGGAGGGAAGGAGATATTCTGGAGGCAGATTATGTTATCCTGAGTTACTTCCAGCCTGCTTCCCTCCCTTTCTGACGCCCCTTCAGTGGGTGGGCAAAAAAGCTGATCTGGTGAAAAAATGCAGGCTTAGAGGCTGGTGAAGATGGATAACTAGAAGCCATTTGGAGGTTTCTAACAATTGAAAATGCAATCAGTAGTACCAAATATGTGGTTAAGATGGGATTTGTTCTGGAAAGGGATCAGGTGAAAATGTGCACTTTTATTGCTCAATCTCAATCTCTTAACTGTGGTTACAAAGGGAGCTTTATTAAGTTTACCTTCACTGGAAAAACAAAGCATGAATATATAAACTCAGCTCTAGCATTACAACCATGAAGGTCCCTTCTTGGGATTTTTCACAGCTATCACTCAGGGACAGACCACAATTTTGCATGTAGACGCTTCCAGGCTCACTCCTAGGCAGCTCCAGTTAAAAGGATCCAGTAACAGGTGATGGAAAACTGGCATTAGCAAAGTTAGGCAACGCAGGGCCCACTGGTTCCCTCCTTAACCTACATACCCATTGGTTCCTTCCTTAACCTTGTGACCTCCTGTATTTTGGTCTACAATTCCCATCACTGCTAATTATTGATGGGAGTCATAGTCCAAAGCATTGGGGTTGAAAAAGCTGAAAAAACAATCTAGGCTAGAAAGAAATGCCCTGGTTAAAATTCTTTTCTACTTGCAACCGAATGGCTGAAGATATGGAATTCCCTTGTTCACAGATGGCAGACACTGCTGCAAAGTGGAAGGGGAGCCCAATGTGCCCAGAAAGCCTTATCTGCCGGTTTGGTACAGTTGTGATAAATATCTGGTTGGCCTCCAAGTGGTCACTGTAATTGTGTCACTGAAACACTTTCCACTTTTAATGTGCTTGGTGTAAACCAGCCATTGTTTTTAGGACAGACCATGAAACGTACAGAATTATTAGGCTGAGACAATCTGAAATGGCATTGTGCTTACCACTGTATTTATGCATTGCGAATTTGAGACACAATCTCCATTTCTATTCTGACATTCATCTATATCTGAACAAACCTAATACAACAAAAAGAAAGCAAAGGTTATTCCAGTGAGTTGGCTGCGCAAATATAAAATGAGTATGTTAAGAAGCTTTTAAAAGTAGCTTTAAAAAAAGTCTGGCATTCAAAATACGATAAAAGGTATGTAATTCCACAACAGTTAGTGGTCCTTTGATGCCAATGAACAAAGGCTTCTCCTGCTACCAATCTAAAACAGGTTATGCAGCTATTCTGCTGCCAAAGTTTCAGTGCCAAGTGTTCATCTACCCCCAGGCATCTGGAGATATAGGATAAGGTTTAAAACAAGGTTTAAAATGTTCCCAGGATTTTCCTTATTGGATTAGTTTAAATTGTTTTGTATCTAAATGGTTTTCATATTATGTTTTATATGGCAGTCTTAGGTTTTCATCTCTTGTAAACCACTTAGGAAGCAATCCTATGCATATTTGGATAGAAAACGTCCTATGTTGGCTTGGGCATGCCTGGAGCTGCAGGGTGTATGTCTGTCTAACAATGCATAGAACTGCATCTTTAGAGAGTGGTGGGTATTGATGTAGAAATTAATGATAATAACAACCAAACAATGTTAACAACAGAAACACTTTCTGAAATCATCTTGACATTTATGTAGACTTTCATTTATACTTTAAAGAAGGAAAACATCTTAAGCTGTGTAATACAATATCAAAATGTAGAGCCCAACATTGTCTGCTTCTGATGGCTGGCAGTGAAATCACACACCTGCTTGTTATTTTTGGCAGAGTTTATTCCCAAACCCTGAACGATCTGCCCAGTATATCCTGGAGGGCAGGCCTCACACCTGAAACCCGGAGCCATGTTCACACACCTCACTCCTGGGAAGCATGGATTATATCGGCACTGCAAAACAAACATCAGATTTAGTCAATATACTGACAGTATAGCATCGAGCCAGCAAAGCTAAGAATCCATTCAGACATTTGTTAGATGCACAGATTAAGATCAAAACCCAATATTTCTTTAAACTGGTTCCTAGCAGTTACAACTGGGGTTCCATGCCTTTTTGGGGTCAGTGAACTGGACACATTTGGACACTATACTAAAATAGCTGCCATGGTTAGCATTCCTGATCATGGAACATTAATTTCCCAGAAGGCAAACTGGTGAGACTGAAAAACCTAGGTATAAGGTAGAGATGAGGTTTGTGTTCAAGAGCATAAAATCTTTCTTCCTTCTGAAACCAAAAAAATGGTGCTGGAGAGTAATCTTTCCCAGAGTAGTTCCACTGAAAAGAAAAAATAAAAAAGAAGCGACCACAGGCACGAGGTTAGAGACCCAAATTACACCTTTTCCCATTTTTTTACTTGAGTAGATATAGGTGCTCAGTCTTGATCTTAAAACCCCCTTAACTCCTCCAAGCCTAGGGTCCTGATCTGACTGAGGGGCCCTGTGGCTACTCTGGAGCAAAATAAAAAATGCCACAATTGCTCAGCACAGATTTAAAGCAATCCCTGCTTTGTCCCTGATTCATGTTTCTAAAGAGGGGTCTCAGAAATTTTATTCCTAGGTTCTCCCTCTGAGAAGTCACACATCACCCTGAGCTGTAAAATGCAGACATGTTTTGGATTTCTTTATCCTCAAAACTCACATACTCCTCACTCTCTCTCACTGCAGCCTACATGGGTCCTTTAAAAAAATCAGACTAAATTTACCTCATCAACATCTGTGCAAATAACTCCATTTCCAGTGAAGCCTTCAGGACAAGGCCCACACTGAAAACCATCTGATGTGTCTGTGCATCGCACTCCTCGAAAACAACTGTTGGCTTCACATTTGGGCTTAGGAGGTGTTGGAGGTGGAGTGGGAAAACTTCCAGCTCCCAATCCTGTGATCAAAAAGAACAGCATTTTTAGCCATCTTGCTACTGTTGGCAAAGCTTAAGACAAATGCTAAAAATCATGTCCAGCAAAGCAACAGATCAGTGCTCTCGCTGGATTAGAGAAGTTTGCTTCTGTGATGAGCACACAGTGAAAGTCTATTTCACTGCTTGCACGTGCCACAGGAGTCCTGCCACCGGTGTTTGCGCCAGATTTGCTGGAAAGTGTAACTCCAACCCTGGGCAGTGCACCTTCCTCCTTCCCACTGTTACCGCTTGCCCTGCTACCATCTCTTGGGATCCTGTATTAGAGATGTGTGAATCAGCCACTGATTGAAGTGTATATGTGTCAATTCTTCAAAAGTACACATCTTTTCATGCATTTTTAAAATGTATATTTGCTGTCATACCAATTTTGGAGGGGGCTGTTCCCTGAACTGTATTGCAAGCTTGGAAATGTTGAGGAAGGGGTTCTGGGTTGTTTTCATCAGTGGATTAATCAAGTAAGGGCTGTGCTGCCCAATTTTACACATTTTTACATGGAAATACTAGGAATTCAATGACATTTACTGCCAAGTAAACAGGCATAGTTAGTGAAAAAGAAAGACTGGTGCATCCTTTGTGGCTTGCCTGTACAGTATATGAAGTAATCATCTTAAACACAGAAGCACTTACCACAAGCCTGGCATTCAGCAATTGTATTCCTCAAAAAAGTTGTTTCTTTAACCTTTGAGTTATATAAAATAAATATATGTATCAGTCTTATTTATCCTGAATTGTTACTGGCATCATTACATATTGTCCCCAAAATGCAGAGAACAGACTTAATAAAATTAATTAATATATCCTAGACCTGCAAATATTAATTCAGTATTCTGTTTATTCTGTATAATTTTTGTACTGGAATTTTTGACAAGTGCATCATATGAACAGTCATAATTTCATGTTTCAGCTTTCTATTATCTTCTACAGAGTTATGTAGAGCATGTACCATCTATTACTGACCTCAAAAGCCTATATGCTTTAAGCAGAAGAATGTCTGTAATGTTTAAACTTAGATTTGGGGTTTGATCATTTGCTGAATCTATTTCCCCTTAATTCTATGCTTAAATAAATTGCTGAATTATACAGCAAGACCCCTGTAACTGCTGTCTGTTAGTGCAGTTTCACTTAACCAAGTTTGACTATCAGCCCTCCACATTTGCAAGGATTGAGGGCATAGGAGCCCCACAAGAGTAGAAAGAAACAGAGAATATCTCTAGAGAAAAAACCAAAATATCTCTAGGGAACCAGGCACTCTGTTTGGGAATGCCATGCTCTTTGTCTCAGTAGTAGCCAGCCTCACTCATGTGTTTTGTTTCTCAGTGGGTGCGAAAACTCTTGAGTTATTTGTGTTTTTTCCACTTTTGCAGGTATACTGTGCCCCTAACTGTAGTGTTTGTAGCCTTCTGCAATTTCAGGCATCTGCTGGGGGCTTGAAACCTATCCCCCGTAGATATTGGGGTTGTGCTGTGCTCCAAGATAACAGGGTAGGTCCAAACCAGGTTGCATCATATAAAAGCAGAACATGGGAAACTAGACAGTGACTGAGTGGTTAAATATACATTAGAATTCTTCCGAGAAATTCTAGCTAACCATAGCACATGCTTGACCTTAACCTGTTTCATTTTATTGCTTTTATATGGCACAAAATTAGCTCCGGGGGTCTCCATAATTTTGCTAAGTCTGGAATAGTTTGCAGGGCCAGGCTCATAAATAATTCTACATGCTAAGCATATCTTCATCTTCTGAGTCAGGTTCCTTCCTAAAATTTAATAAATGGCCTGATTCAGGAATGAACTATGCCATGCTTATTTAAAAACATACAATTCCCTAGCTAAAACTACAGCCTATTATTCTTACTGTGACATAAACAGCTTCCACAGATGCTTCAAATATGGATAAATTTCTGCAGAGATTTGGTTAGGCACTAGCAAAACGTGTACTGTATAAAAACATCTTCAAATACCTGTTGTCTCAGAAGATCTTTCACATCACCTAGTATTTGATTCATTTGCATCATGTGACCTAGTAATTGTCTGTTAAAGTCACTTGTAGAGACACCTACAAAAATCAATGGAAAGAATTCAAATCACATCATATGTCAGGTGCAGAAATCTAGTAAGATGGTCCTTTTTAGCATTCAAATTACCTCACACCATACAGTTATCCCATTAATCTAGAATTTAGACCTCAGCTAAGTTACCATCTCTGTCCTAAACATATTTACCTATAAATCACAATAAAGTATTAAGAGGATTCACTTCCAGGCCTGATCTTATATAGGTTTACTGGAAAGTAAGTCCCACCATTCCAGTAGGGCTTCCTTCCAAGAAATTATACATAAATCTGCAGTCTTGTGAACTTCCTCTGGCAGCTTCAAGATTCTAGCCCAAGGGCTGGTCAAAACATACTTGAAAAATAATTGCAGACCAATTAATCTAGGGTGCAATTGAACTGAATGCCCATAAGCCTCCAAACTCAGAGGAATATGAGAATCTTGTGCAGAGAGGGTGAAGCAGCAAAGGAAACCTTGACCTCTGCACTTCGCTGGTGCTGCAAGATAGCTAGACAACCACCTAGCTGCAGCGCATTGTGTAGAATGGGAAGCAGGGTGCAGTACCACATGGGATGTTGTATCCCAGTGGCCTGTCTCCTCTCCTCCCTGCTCTCTCAAATGCCTCCTCTGTCCCTTTTCCAAGGTTGCTCTTACAGCCTCATAGAAGCAGCTAATGCAGTTCTTTCCTACTAAAAGTAAAAATCATAAAAACAATGTAAAAGCACAATCAGAAAAAGAGCAATTAAAGAAACAGACAGCATCCAAATCAGTGGAAACCGCTTCGCAGTATACATGCCCAAGGCCTTTGCCTGCTGGAAGGTCAGTGGGGAGGAACTGGCGTAGCTTTCCTAGATAGGGAGTTCTAGAGCCTGAAAGCAGCCTCTGAGATTTCTGCAGAAAAATCTGGTATTAAAGTATCGTGTCCTATAGCAAGCATATAATCAGTGAACATGAACACACACATATACACAGAGGGACAAGCAATCAGGAATCCTTTGGTTCTCGCAGCAGTCCTAATATGTAGAGCTGACTTAAGAAGTACAGGCTCATTACATCCTTAGAATCACATCCAAGACAGATCAGGTTTCCCATGGCCAGCCACCATTTATTTCATTTCAACTAACAGTCAAAATGCAAAAGCAACCACGCACCGACTTACTCACTCTGACGATATGCATTTTTTTGCCTACATATGGTAAAGTACTCAATTTAGATTGTTTTTGGCTATTGGTGTGATGGATCTGTTTAACAGGTTTACTAGAAAACATGCCCACAGTACAACGCAAGCCAAGCTATTACTTTTCTAAGAACATACACATTTAACCTTAAAGAAGAAATAACTTCTTAGCATGACCTCACAGCTTGCTAAACTAAGCAGGAGGACAGGAATGAAAGACTTTGCAACTTTCCTCCAAGCTATTTTCTTTCCTCCTCCACTGGTGCATTGTACTGGTAAAGCCAGCTCTACCATCATGTCCTCATTCCTCAGGAAATAGGGCAAGGAGTGGGAGAGAAAGGTTCTTATACAGACATACGCTGACTTGGTTCACATGTTTACCACAAACCACCATGTCTTATTTAACCCATGATGGCTTGCAGCATATGCCAGCAGCCATTTTGAATTTGAATATTCAAGCTGTGGCAGGTGGATGCTTGGCTTGCTGTTGTTTGTCCTGAGACCCAGTGAGGGGGATTGTTGGCATGGTTAGCAAACCAGCCACACCTCTAAAACAGCCCAGTTTGATTGAGTGACTAAGTGGCGGTGAAAAGGCATTCACCACATTGTATGCGGATGGACACATCCTTGCCCCAGGATCACATTCAAACAGTTCTGCCACTTTGCACAGCACTAGCAATCGCAATCCTTTCTTGAGAGTTCCCTCTTAAAAAAAAAAAAAAGCAAAGCCATCAAAAGTGCCTAAATGGCAAAAATGCACATTCAGGTTTTGAAAAGGTGCAGTTTACCTGAAGAATTGGGGAACAAACAAGACAAATAAATGAGAGTTTTTGCACTTTCAAATACTTCATGGTGGTAGCTGGAAACCGAGCTTCCTCCAGAGCAGAAAAAACCTGGAAAGCCCTATATAAAGTTCGAACTGTATGTTGCTAAAATACTATTTCCATCCTTCCATTCTCACTCTTCTTGCCTGCTATAGGGTTTTGGAGAAACAGCCATGGATGCAGTCACTTTCCTTTTAACAGGTTCACCAATTGTGAGGTATTTTGTGAGTGTCTTCAAAGAGAGGCTGAAGCTTGCCTCCTCTTGCTTACTTCTAGGTCACCTTATAAACCCCACACAAAATATTAATAATCCTGAGCCACTTTTTCCTTGCTGTGAACTACAAACATGCAGAAGCAGCAAGAAAACTTATAAGGAGAAGGGAGGGAAATCTCAGAAAGGGTAGCTCTGTTCTCCTGATAAGGAATGAGTGGGGTTGCCACCTCTTAGAAACATAGAAACAGAACGAGTCAGATGGGACCTCCTGAGCCATCTAGTCTGACCCCCAGCTCCAGCCAGCTCCGCTCACGACACGCCCACCATGTGCATGTCTAGTCTATCTTTGAACGCCCTCACTGATGGGGCCCATGGAAGCCCATTCCATACCCTCTGCAAGTTGTAGCTGTTTGGGATTTTCAGCTGAGAGAAAAGAACAGCCATACAAAGCTGCTCTTCCTTGCCCATTGCATGGAACATCTAGAGACTTGCTTGCAACAGCAGACAAGGTAGAAACAGGAACATGGAAAGAATGGGTAGGTGAACCTGAGACAAACTATGGCTGCTTTGAGTCTTATGCCCAATGAAGAATTCAGGGGCAACGTGTGGTGTCCAGGGCATGGGAGATGGCTCTGTGTGTTGAACGCTGGACAGCATGTCTTTGCAAATGATGAGGCTAAAAATAACTTTAATTTTCCACATTATTCTTGGAAGACGATTTTTAGGTATGCACATAAAGTTACCTGGATATTGAACTGCTGGCTCAATCTGTGGAAGGAAACAGTCTTGTAGGCCGGCTACTTGGGATAATGACCCTCCTGCTACTAGCTTCAGGTCTTCCAAAGTGTCCTAGAAAAAGAAAGAATTTGGGGGGAAATGGACAAGGACAGAAGGAAGCTACAGGTATGCAGTTCAGAAATATGGTAAGATGCACTAGCATACAGACAGAGGGTCAGGTCCTCATTAAAACTGCATCGAGGACACTAGTGAAAGTGAACTTCCACCTTGAAGTAAATAAATAATCTGGAGGGCAAGCACCTCCTTTTGAGGTATACTGTTCCCTGAAATCACCTGAGCATAACACCTTATACTACAGAAGCCTCACCTGTTGCATTTCTGCCTGTCATGCAATTGTTACAGGCACAGATGCTCTGACAGGAAAAGCAGGTGGCAAACCTAAGTATGTCCAATCCACATGATAGGCACATGCACTCTGGCACCGATTTTAAAGGAAGCAGGTAGTGCCAGAAAACCTTCCAGTCAGACTGAAGAGTTCTACAAGCAAAGTAGAGCTTTCTGAAATGAGGCTGCCAAACAGCTGTCATTCTGCTGTATCTACTTTCATCACAGAATTCAGATCCAAGCACTATTCAGTGTGTCCTTTCCTGCTGTTTTGCCACTTAGCCTCTAGGTGGCATTGTGGTACAGAGGAATAGTGTAAATATACAAATGAAAAGAGGGCTTTTTTTCACTCACAATTATAGGCCACATTAACCCTCCTCTAAGAAAACTCAGTGAAACTACTCATTGGACATAGAAACAAAACTGGGGCGTCACAACACTGTCTAAAGAACCCATAAACAACCATGAGTACAGAAATGAAGAAGGCACAACACATGCCTTGTATGGAAATGCCAAGGAGATGAACTTGAATTGATGGACTCACTCATTATCCCTGCTTTCTGTGTCCGGGAAATGCTTACCACCCAGCCAGTCTGCGAGCTGTGGCTACCCTGGAGCTGCTCACCTGTGCTTTTCTCTGCAGTGTCCTTATTTCCAATGACTCTGAGTTCTGTGATAGTCCCAAGAAGGCTTTTGGCAGCTCTTGAATGGCATCCACTGGCACACAGTCCACATACAGCTCTGCTTGGCCGGAACCACGTGGCAGGCCATTGAGCCTGAGGAGGATAGCATGGCGCTTCCCATCTGCCAGAGGCACGTTGCTGAAGAACACAGCATTTAATTTCCCATTGTTCCTCAAATATCGCAGGGAAACTAGCACAAAAGAACATCATTGTAAGGTGAGACTGCAGGATAGGCAGGATACAGCAAAATCCCTGCCAGGGGAGAAGAAAGTCTGTGGAAAGTTACAGAAAATCTTGCCAGTCTGGCTGTTCTTGCTTGAATCATGTCTGCTGTGACAATTCAGCTTTCTAGTTAGCAAGACACTCACAGATGTATATACCATCAGGGTTATCCCAGATGAGGATTAATAGTAAAAGAGCTAACAAGAGAAGAGGGGAAAACAGGAGTAAAGTACTCAGGTTAAGTTGGGTTTGAGCCAAAAGATCAGAGTTAGGGATATTCAATCTAGTGTCCGTCAAACATATTGGGTAAGTCCCATCACCTCTAAGCATCATGTTCTCAGAGTTGGAATCCAAAATACCTGGAGGGTACCAGGTTTCTTGCCTCTGGTCTAAGTTCAAGTCATCTCTGTAGACATAAATTATACAAGTGACCATGCTCTTAACCCGGGTGCCTTACTTCTATTTCCTGATAACATCACAGAAACAATAGGACCGGTAGCAGGGTTGGACCAAAACATTTTGGTGCCTGAGGAAGGATTTCCATACAGTGCCTGTCTCTACATAGATATATCATTATACATTAATGAATCATTTCCTGCTCTTTAATGTGCCCCCAAATATGATCCCAAAAGGCCAAACTAGATACAATGTTGGAAGCAACATGTTTTTTCTACTCTTAGGCAACTGCCTCACTGCCTAACAGCCAGGTTAAGTCTGCCTGGTGGAAGAAAAAGAGATGGGATATTGCCCCAACATGCCCACAGGCTGTTCACTTGGCATTGACCCGGCCCTCTATTCCTCATGAGTTTTGTATTACCGCTTGCAATTGTTTGGTAATCAACATCAATGGCATGCTGCAAAGCACAATTCTACCCTCCAGCGCCATCTTTATTTGGGTTCAGAGAAGCGGTTTTGTGTCTTGCAGTTCAACCTCCACCTTTGCCTTGTACTTAGGTTCTTAGGAAATGTACTTTTTCTTCAGTCTTAGCAGTTTCCCTTCTGGGAAATCAGGGTTCTGTGACCATCTTATGAGAGCAATCGTGTCATTCTCTCAGAATTCCAAATGTGCCTACTGACCAGAAGAGGTGGGGGCCTATTAAAGGTGTCATAAAGGTGGCAGGGTACTTTTATCAAAAAAATAACTCAATAATGCAAAATATGTGCATGCATCAAACTTGTCTTGCTTTTACTTTAAGATCAAGAGCTGGTAGAGTTCAGAATTAGGATCGCTGCAAACAGGGACAGGGGTCCTGGTAAAAATGTACCCACAACCTCTTGCTATCTGCACTGACATGGAAGCTGCCAACTCTACCAACAGCTTGTTGTGTCTCAGACCTGGAGCCCTGATTGTTCACAGCAGGCTGGAGAGGTCTGTGGACAACAGGCCTGGGAGGGAACAGGCAGGAGAAGGAACAGATCCCATTCCTCCTGCTGCACCAGGAGGTGTACAAATATATGAACCCATGTTCTCCAGCTTTGAATCTGGCAACCCCACAAAAAAGGCCCAGCATGTGCAGAATGAATAAATGGAGCAAAGCCTCAGAGAGAAAGAGAGAGCAGAAAAGAATGAAAGAGACCACAACTGGACAGGGGCCATGAGACAGGACTGCCTGAGGGCAGCCGAATTGGATGGAAGATCAAGGTTCATCTGCGGAGGTGGAATACTGCTTTTGGAGAGAGAGCAAGCGTCAGGGGGTGGGGGGATAATTGCTAGGACCAAAGACATATATATTTAAAACATCTGTGCTTCTACACCCTTCCACTGCAGGAAAAGTTTCAATTAATGGTGCCAATGGACATTGAAGAGCTCAGTCATTTTCATTGTGGAGAAACCTGAGTCCCACTGTTCTGTTTCTTAAGGGCAATAAAAAAATTAATTTAGGATACCAGAAATCCCATCAGATATTTGAACAGACTTCAAAGAACTGTTGTTAAGTGAGCTCACACTATTTTAAAGAAAACACTCTTCTTCAAAGGTGGGAAGTTCTTTCCTGATCATATCTCCAGGTGATGGCAAAGCTAATGGGGATGGCATGGGGGATGGGGCTGTAGACACAGAAGTATCTAGGGAGTCTGCTGCATATATTTTGTATGGCCAAGAAGAGGGAATCTGGATTAGCAGATGTTTTTGTGATTATTGTGGAGATGCCGAGAACACACTAACATGGTTAGAAATATTTTTAGTCCCCCACTTTAAAACAATCTGCCTTTGTGATATGAGGTCAATGAAAGAGCAACTTTGATAAACAGTGAACAGTCATAGGGAGTTCAACATATTTTGAGGTAACAAAACACACGCTCTCTCTCTCTCTTAATTAAAATTACAAGACATACAAGGCATCTGCAGAACAGTATTCAAGCCAGAGATTTCTTTCCCATGCAGTATCTGTAAGGCAATGGCATATGATTTTATTTCTATGATACAAAAGTAAGTTAATTCTTTTAAATTGGGATTAGTAGAATCAACACTAGACCATTTTGACTGCTTTACTATCAATAGCTTGATAAGTCTTCGGATGCAATGCTGAACAAGAGGAGCCCCACTGCAAGAGGAAAAAGCTGGTCACTCGGTTTTCTTATCACCAATTACAGTGGCTTCCTCAGCCCAACCTTCTTCAACCTGGAAGCCTCCAGGTGGGTTGGACTGCAACTGCTGTCACTCCCAGCTGGCATGGTCACACTGGGTTAGGAAGGTTTCCTTAGCCCTGCATGGTTAGATTGCTGCAATGGGCTTTATGTGGGGATACTCTTGAACAGCAAGTGGAAGTGTCAAGGGGTGCAAAATACAGCAGCTACACTGATAACCAGTGCTGAAAAAAATCTATACTGCTGTCCAATTGTTTTCTGGTGTTAGTTCTAATCTGTAAAGCCCTAAGCAGCTTCCGGCCTGAGGGACTGTGTGTCTGAGTAGGAACCTCCAGATCAGCAGGATACTAAGAGAAGGGGTTCTTTGAAAGACACTCTTGCCTGTAGAAGCCAACTTGCTGGTAAGTGGTAAAGAACTTTCTCCTGTGTTGCTCCCAAATTCTGGAATGAGCTCTGTTTGGAGGTGTGCCTGGTCTCCCATCTCTCTGTGTTCAGGAAGGGGAGAAGCACACATTTGAAACTTGGCTTTAAATTTTGGTTTTATATTTTTACTATGTTTTTATCTGATTCTTTTAGTTATGTTTGGGGCCTGCTGTAAACAGCCTTGATTGCTCTAGAAAGGAAGCACCCAAACACTATAAACAAACAGTCCCATACAAGTCAATAGAACGGTGAAATTAACTAAAGTGGAACAAAAGCGGTCTAATTAACCACCTTTCTAACAAAAATGTTTGTTTTTAAAATACAGAGACAAATCTAACTCTTTTGGAAAGAAACTGTTGCCCTGAAATAGACTAGATTATATCGCATGCAAGTTCTGCTTTAACTCATTTCATTCCTAAGGGAAACAGTTGAAGAAGAAAAATGTTCTGGACTAGCAGTACAGCTGTTATATTTTTCTTTTCAAAGAGTGACCTGACTGCTTATGTAGATATATGACTACATCACCACCCATCATGTTACAAGCTCCTAAACAATTTTGAAATAACTAAGATTGCTCCAGGCACTGCAGAAGTGGAGAGACGTGTCTAACTCATTATGCCTGCTTCCCATATGCACCCTCTATAGTCACACCAAACTATATAACTCCCTATTGAAGCAGTGCAGGTTGTGGTTTTGGAAGCTAATTTCTGGCCTTGCCAGGTATACATTGACAGCTTCCAGGCCTCTAAAAAGCTGTCTGTGTCTTCTTTCTGCTTGCCTCAAACAGAAAAATCCTAGACTTATTCATTGGTTTCCATCTGGTCCTTCAAGACTGTTGCATGGTGGCTTGCAACACTCAAGGCCAATTAGAAAATAAATAATAAAATAACTGTATGCAAAACCAGAGGCAGGCTTAGCAAAAACAGACAGGAAATCATCTACTTGGTAAAACAAGGCCTGCTAGAATTGTAGGTACTTTTACTATTTGACAGGAGGTAGAGCAATCAACAGAGATTCCATAAATTGGGTGTGACTACAGAGAAAGCCTCTCTCTTGACCCTGTCAACCAGGCCTCCATTACAGTTGGATACAGAAAAGGCCTGTTCCATAATCCTTAGGGAATGGATATGCTGATTGTGGAGGAAGCAGTCCCTAAGATATCTTGGACTCAAAACATTAGTGGCTTAAAGGTCTCCAACACCACTGAAAGCCAATTTAGCACAGGAGTTAGAGGGCTGAACTGGACCTTACAATAGATCCAGATTCTAGTCCCCACTCAGCCTTGAAGCTTACTGGGTGACTTTGACCCAGCCACTGCCTCTCAGCCTGACCTACCTGACAGGTTTATTGTGATGTTAAAATGGAAAGGATGATGGCATAAGCTGCCTTGTGTTCCTTGCAGCAAACAGGCAAGATATGAATATAATACATAAACTAACACTTTGGATTATACCTGGAAACAGACTGGCCATCCGTGCAGCTGTGACAGGACAACTGTGATATGATTCTATTGAAAATGCTCAGTAATATCTGCTGCATTCTGGACCAAGTGAAATTTCTGAAGGCTATTCAGAAGTCTGGCATCATCAAGAACAGTTAGTTAGTTAGTTAGTTAGTTAGTTAGTTAGTTAGTTAGTTAATATGTATTTATAGGCTGCCTATAATTGCCGAGGCAGCAGTTAGACTAACTAAGCTGGGAAAAGGTGCTCCTTGCTACAGTTGCCATGGGAGCATCAAGGTGCAAAGCTGAGTCCAGGTTTGCCATCAACTTATGATCCTGATTCATTAAGGGGAATGGTACCTATGTAAAACAAGTTTAATTCCATTTCTAAACCATTTCCCTCCCTCCTGATCTCTCTCACCCAGAAGCCTGAATGTCTTTAACTGGAACAGATTTATGAGCTCTTGGTGCTTTCCATTAGTAATTTGGAACCTCAACTGTTTTGCTGTTACTGAAAGAAGAAATACTTTTGTGTGGCATCTTCACATTGGTGACAATACCCCCAAAGGACTTCTCCCAGCAATTCCATGCAAATAATGAATAGTCTAAGGGAGAGAATTTATCCCTGGGGATGCCATAAACCAGTGCTCATAGCGTTAGGCAGGAGCCCCCAACACCTACTTCTGAAACCGAATCCCCAAGAAATGATTGGAATATCTGCAGATCAATCCTCAAATCCATCCTCCTCATGCAGTTCAAGACACCATGGTCAATTATATCAAATCTGCTATGAATCATAGCAAATCAACGATATGAAAGGTCCAGGTGAACCAACAGGGGTGTACATCTGCTGGCAAATGAATTTGTTTCGGTGCTAACACCAGGCCTGAAGCCCGACTGAAATGGATCTATATACAACTCTAATGACCATAAAATTAAAACACTGGACCCAAAGGTTTTGCAATAGAGCCTGTATTTCATAGCTAGAACATTCCAGAGGAAATCTCTTACAATGAATAACATGCCCTAGATCAGTTCCCAGAACATTTATGAAAATATTTTGAGTGTGTGTACTTCACTATAAAGCCTTCCCATTTTCTTTGAAATGTATTATCGCTTTTCCTAACACAGACCAGAAAACTTTGCCCATTGGACAGTACAGAACTTACGCAGATCTGCTCCTCCAGACAAGAACTCTTATGTGTTATTCCCTGCTGCTGAATTTAATACTCTCAAGTGATTGTTTTGGAATTTATTTTATTGTATGCTTATTTTTGCTCCAAGTATAGTATGGATTATTCATAACCCTAAGTTCATGTACATGTTTGCATGCATACCTTTTTCTTCCATAAGCAAACTCATAAACTCTGTTTCATGCATTGTTGTTGTTGTTGTTGTTGTTGTTGTTAGTCGCGAAGTCGTGTCCGACCCATCGCGACCCCATGGACAACATTCCTCCAGGCCTTCCTGTCCTCCACCATCCCCCCTGCTTCACTGATTCCATCTAGCCACCTCATCCTCTGCCGTCCCCTTCTTCTTTTGCCATCTATTGTTCCCAGCATTAGGCTCTTCTCCAGGGAGTCCTTCCTTCTCATTAGGTGGCCAAAGTATTTGAGTTTCATGCATGCACACATGTAAATCTTGTTAATTCCAAGCCTTCTCCTCATATGCCAAGGTTGCAGGACCAAACTATTAAGAACACATAGTTCTAAAGTGCACTTTAGTCCTAACAGTGACAGAAAAACAAGGGTTAGCCTTTCCTCTATTGAAACTGACAGATCTTCAGCTCTCAATCCCAAGTGAGCTATGGGGACAGGAAAGGAAAGTTTTCCATAGCCCTGCTGAACAGCCATAAAGTACCGCTGCGCTGCATCTTGCTAAGTGGGGTACAAGTTGTGCGCATCTTCTTAGATGTAAATAAACCAATACATAAGTCCAATATTGAAATCATAATTATTCTTAATTGATTGACTGTTCAATAATTAAATTTACATTAAATTGGACCTATGTGCAACTAATGCATATTGCAATCTTATGCTTCCTTACCTGGATATAAGTCCTAATTAAATAGGATTCATTTCTAAACAGATATATATAGGATTGTACTTACAGTCTGGATTCAACCCAAAGCATTTTTTAAAAAATCCACTGCTCAATAAAATGTTTCACATTTTTCATTAATAAAAAAATCAATCTAACAATTAAACCAGTCTTCCCTAATCTAAACCCTCTGGATATATTGGAAGGCAAGTCCCATCATTCTCAGTCACCACTGGATTAATTGCATTTAATTTAAATGCATTTCAGCATTGGGTAATTGCATTTATGTAGCTTAAATGAAATGAACCCAATATTGAAATGCCATTAAACCAATATTTAAATGTGGTATTTGCTAGGCTGCAATAATAGTTATCTTTATGCTCATTACACTCTCATTTTTTTCCTTTTGAAAACAGCATCACACATTTTTCATGCTGGACATTTGTGAATTTACCAGATCATGGCAGAGCATCACACAAGTCAGCCTCATGGCTCTAAACAAGCGCATTCCACTCAACCAAGAGCACTTTCTGTCATGTGGCTATTTTATAAGGCCTCTGCAATAGGAATGTTTATCTTGCACAGTCAGAGCTAAACTTTGGGATCAACTAAATTAAGTTCCCATCTTTCATATGCTGGATACAGCATGTGCGTGTATCTATAAAATTCCTCAGTAATATGAAACAGTGATTTCCCAAGGGGGAAAAGAGAAAAAAAGGCCTTGATTCCTTGGGAACCATTCATCACTGCTAGTGGCAAGTTAGCTGCCAGAGAGATGTCAGTCTCTGCCTCTCAAGAAGGGGTTTTAAGGCTGTTCAATAATGCATACAAGGCCTGGGCAACATCTTGCCATAAGCTAAAGCTCACACTGCTTTGAAAAGGGGAATGGGACAACTGCACTAAAAGGTAAGTGATGTATTTGAATTAGCCATGTTTGTCTCAGCACTGAAATGACTTCACCTGGAATACTGTGATGAGTTCTAGGCACCACTATTACAGAAGGGAGTCAACAGGTCTGGAAGAATTCAGCAGAGTCAAAGAAAATGACAAAATGAATCTGGCTACCAAGCCATTTCCTCTGGCCTTTGGCAGGTCCATCAGATTTTAATCCAAAAAGCTTTCCCAGAGTTTACTCATAAGGAATATGAGAAAAATGGTGCATTGTTCTTTCAGATTCTGTGTAACATGTACTGCATAATATATAAATATTTGTGCCTGCCTATATGTGGCCCACAAATGAGAATCATGTGCTCCTATACTCAAGTCTTTATTAAAGGGTCTGTAGCAAAATCTACTTCCATTCACCATACCAATACTGGGTAACAAAGCAGTCACTGGATGACACAAGTTGGCCATCCTTGGCCAAGAAAATGGAGATGGGACAGGCAAAGAAAACTTCAAAATCGGCTTCAAGTGGAGTGCTCCCACTCCTGGGAGATGAGATGCCAAGCCCTGCCAGCAATCTACTTAATTTTTTCCTCTTCCTTCCCCTTGTGTGTTGTGCCTTTTTAGATTGCAAACCTGTGGGCAAGTACTTTTTGCTGATTGATTTTAAGCCACTCTAGGAGCTTTTTTTTGGCTGGTGAGCAGAAAAAAAATTACTGTAAAATAAATTAATAGCAACAAATCCTTAAAATGAAAAAGCACAAGCATTTAGTATAGTAGCCCTGAGAGAAATTTAAGGATAACAGAATAGAATAGGCTGACGATTTTCTAATTTCAAATACTTAGAACAACATCAGAGAGGAGAAAGGGCAATAACTAGCGGTGGGCAACCTCTGCCCTTCTAGATATTATTGGATTCCTGCTCATGTCATGCTGGACCACTGGCATTCTGGGAGTTTGAGTACACGTATGGAGAGTCACAAGTGTTGGCTCCAGTATAAACAATGGCTTACTGAACAGAGAGATAACCTGCTTTCCTCCAGAGGTTTGGGGGCTTCTCAACATAACCTGTCACTTTACAGCTCCTTTGCAGGATTGAAAATGACTCCTTTACACTTTTCCCATTTTTTAAAACAATTCTCCAGTTTGCTATACAGCCACAATCTCGTACTGCAATATAGAAGAATTGTGAAAATACAGGAGTTTCTCATCATAGTTCTTTCTGCCATTTCCAGATAATATTACTTTTCTTGCTCTAAAAAAACCATAGAAATCCATGGAATACACAAGAGAAGCACCTTCAAACTACCATGAATGAGGAAATCACATGCAAACAAGAAACGCCTCATAGATAATTCTTAGTTTACAACTCCCATTAACCTAAACCTGCATGGTCAATGGTCAGGAATCATAGGAGTTGCAGTCCGAAGAGTCTGGAGGGCCCTGGGTTGACTATACCAGTTTTACAGTACCTGTAGAAGGCAAGAGAGGAAGCAGTGCTTTCCATTTTAGTTTCCAAGAGGAACTGAGTTGTGCCTCAAATTTACCTGGAATCCTTTTAAAATAGTTTAAGCCCAATATTTATAGAAGCCACATAAAATCTATTCATCAAATATAAGGAATAAAATTAAATCTAAGTGCTAGTTAGAGTTGATACACTGAAATGAATGGGACTTAAGTTAGCCAGGATTTTGTACAATGTGCATGTGATATGTTTCATTGTTCTTTCATTTCATAAAACTAACTTACCTTTATTCACCCGCCCCATCACTGTGAACTCAAAATATTTTCTGTTTTCAGTAGGGGAGTAGATCCCAAATACAACAGCTGTGCTTTTAGGCTGCAGTTTGAACGTTGCAAGGATGTATACTTCATTCAGTGTAGAAACTGTCAGCATCTGTTGCAGGAAGGCTTTTACTAGCTTCTGGTTGGGTGTAGAAAGAAGGTCAAAAACTATAAAAAATATTAAAAGAAATTGTAAGCAATTGAACGATAGCCTAGTGGAATGAATCTGCAACATGGAATGAACCTGGAATGAATCTGTGACAAATAGCTCCCCTGCGTTGTCTCTGCTAAACAGGAATGTTCCTATCTAGGGTGTCAGCCAGCAAACTAGCCATGTTCTCTTCCAGGACACTCCATTTGGTTCCACACATATGTATCATGGCTGCTAAGTATGCCCAGTCCTCAGGAAGTTCATTTTGGCCACAATCTCCAATGCCTTTTAGAAGGGATTCTCAATGTGGGGCTCATGGGCACTCAGACAACTGTTTTGTTAACCAGCAAGAAAGCCTCTGCTATTGGGCAATATAAAAATGAAATAAGTAACTAAATAACATTTTGTTTATTTTAGAATATACATACATTCATTTGTACGAAATGCATGCATACAGCTTTCCAGCATTTATGCATAGGCCTCTACAAAAATGGGTCAATCTCCAAATGAGCATCCATTTGAAGGTGGTGCCTATATGCCACCTGTTCATATACTGAAAGCAATCCAAGAGCCTGAACCCATTGCATTATAGAAGGGTTTGTAATTTCAGTCTTTTAGCTTGAAATTAGCACATAGCATCCATTTTAGCACACAGAATCCACGAACATTGAACATTTCTTAATCTCCATTAAGCAGGTAAATCATTCAAAAGAGCATGCACGTCATTGATAAACAAAATTCACCCATGTAAGAAACTCCTCCCCAAAAGAAGCAGTTACTAGATATTGCTAAATGATACATTTAACAAATTAGTAGCTGAATTTCACCACCAGCAATTAAGGGCATCAGACAGTCCCTGATTAAAGAGATTCTGCAGTGTGCAACACACACAAAATTTCTTGCTGAAAAAGATGCAACCTAAGGTCTGCAGGAGCCACAGACACCAAAGTAACAATACACTGATTAGGAATTCTGTGGTGGTGCTGGTGCCAATTTAACAGTTTACCAAATTTAACAGTTTACCTTCAATATCCATGCCGAGGCTAGTCTGACCGGGGCGGCTCAGGACTTCATGGCTTCCATGATGGCCATGGGGCTGTCTCAACATGTCACCGGCCCGACCCATGAACATGGACACACTCTGGACCTGGTTTTCTCGACGGGGCAGGAAGAGGGTGGTCTGAGGGCGAGGAATTTATGCTTGACTCCCCTGTCATGGTCAGATCACTTCCTAGTGAGGTTTGTGCTCGAGAGCGACATCTCCCTCTGTAAGGGTGCAGACCCGATTGTGTGGGTCCGCCCCCGGAGCCGGATGGATCCGGAAGGATTCCTGAAGGCTCTGGGGGAGTTTCCGGCTGACAAGACGGGTGCTCCTGTCGAGGCTCTGGTTGAACTGTGGAATGGGGAGATGACCAGGGCTGTAGACACGATCGCTCCTAAGCGTCCTCTCCCACCGGGCAGAGCCTGCTCTCCCCCTTGGTACACTCCAGAATTGAGGGCAATGAAGCAGGTTGGGAGACGGCTAGAGCGTAGGTGGAGGAAATCACGGGATGAATCTGACTGAACACACTTAAGAGCCCACTATCGGGCCTATGCTGTGGCGGTGAGGACGGCGAAAAAGAGACACTTCTCCGCTTCCATTGCCTCCTCACAATGCCGTCCGGCGGAGCTCTTTCGAGTGGTGCAAGGCCTGGTTCACCCAGGGCCGAAGGAAGAGCTGATTCCACCCTCAAAGGCCTGCTGTGATGACTTTGCCGAGCATTTTAGGGAGAAAATCGCTCAGATTCGTCACGAGCTGGATTCCACTATTGATTCAGAGGTTTTAAGGGAGACACCAATGCTGCCGTCTGGTCCAGAATTATTGGATGAATTCCAGTTATTGCGGCCCGATGATGTGGACAAGGTGCTTGGACGAGTACGTCCTACCACTTGCCTTTTGGACCCTTGCCCGTCTTGGTTAATAAATGATTCCAAGCACGGGATTGGAACCTGGATCTTGGAAGTGGTTATCGCTTCTCTGAGGGAGGGTCGGGTGCCTGCCCCTTTAAAGGAGGCGGTAGTCTGACCGGTCCTGAAGAAGGCGTCACTGGATCCAGGGATGGCCACTAACTATAGACCAGTGGCCAACATCCCATTTCTGGGCAAGGTGTTAGAGCGAGTGGTGGCGGGACAACTCCAAGCACTCTTGGATGAAACTGATTATCTGGACCCATTTCAGTCCGGCTTCAGACCCGGGTACGGTACTGAATCTGCCTTGGTCTCCCTGTACGATGACCTGTGCAGGGAGAAGGACAGGGGGAGTGCGTCCCTGTTGGTTCTCCTGGACCTCTCAGCGGCTTTCGATACCATCGACCATGGTATCCTTCTGGATAGGCTGGCGGGATTGGGGGTCGGAGGCACCGCTTTGCGGTGGTTCCACTCCTATCTCAACGACCGATTCCAGAAGGTGGTGCTGGGGGACTATGGCTCTGCACCATGGCAGCTTTGCCATGGGGTACCGCAGGGTTCCATTTTGTCCCCTTTACTGTTCAATATCTACATGAAACCGCTGGGAGAGGTCATCAGGAGGTGTGGGCTGCGGACCCATCAGTATGCTGATGATACCCAGCTCTACCTCTCGTTTTCCACCAATCCAGGTGAGGCAGTGGCTGTACTGAACCGGTGCCTGGCCGAGGTAATGGGCTGGATGAGGGCCAATAAACTGAAGCTCAATCCAGACAAGACGGAGGTCCTGTTGGTTGGCGGTTCGGGCTTCGGAGAAGGTGACCTGAACCTTGTCCTGAATGGGGTTGCACTCCCTCCTAGGGACAAGGTCCGCAGCTTGGGAGTGCTCCTCGACCCGGAGCTTTCACTTGAAGCCCAGGTGACAACAGCGGCGAGGAGCGCTTTCCTCCAGCTTCGGCTGATTCTTCAGCTGCGCCCCTACCTGGAGTACGACTGCCTTGCAACAGTGACTCATGCGCTGGTGACTTCCCGTCTTGACTCCTGTAACGCGCTCTACGTGGGGCTACCCTTGAAGACGGTCCGGATACTTCAATTGGTTCAGAATAGAGCTGCCAGGCTGCTGACGGGGACTGGACGTTATGTTCACATGACTCCAGTTCTCCGTCAGCTTCACTGGCTTCCCATTGAAGTCCGGGCCCAATTCAAGGTGTTGGTAATGACCTATAAAGCCCTAAACGGCTTGGGTCCTGGTTACCTGAAGGAGCGCTTACATCCATATTTGCCCAGTCGCCCCCTGAGATCGGCGGGAGAGGCCCTTCTCCGGGAGCCCTCCGTGAGAGAAATTAGGAGGGTGGCTACTCGGAGAAGGGCTTTCTCAGCGGTGGCGCCTAAGTTATGGAATGCGCTCCCCAGAGAGGTCTGCCTGGCGCCGTCGTTATTTGTTTTTCGGCGCCAGGCTAAGACCTTTTTATTTAAGCAACATTTTAAATGCTAAATACAATTGAATTTTATCTGGCCAGGGCAGCTTATTTTATAATGTGTGTTTTAATTAAGATTATTTTATATGGATATTTTAACTTATTGTTTTATCTATGTTGTAAGCCGCCCCGAGGCTTCGGCGAATGGGGCGGCATAAAAATGTTTTAATAAATAAATATAAATAAATAAATAAATAAATAAATAAAATAAAATTCCCCCGTGTGCTCACAGCTCCAAGAAGATTGGAAAACCATTTTTTTTTTTTTTTTTTTTTGGACGAGGGTGTTATTCCTTTGTCTATGTTGAATCATTTTGGGGTATTTTTGTACTAATGCAAGCCACAGGGTTCTCCAGAGCAGGCTGAGTATCTCTCTTATTTCTCTAGAGTAGCTTCATTTGGCTATGTGGCTGTTGGTACTCACCATCTGAGTATGCTACTAGAGAGCCCGATGAAGCAAAATGGATGATGTGTGTACCTGTGCAGGTGGTGGGTAGATGTGGATACTGCAAAAACTCCTGGTTAAGAGTGGCAATGACTCTGTGTACTCTGCAAACAGATATTTATTTATTTTATTTATAGCCCACCTGTTTCAAATGAACTCAGACTGCCTTACATAATTCTGCTCCTCCTGCTCTCATTCTTATCTCCACAACAAGAACCTTGTGAGGTAACTTGGGCTGAGAGTCTGTGACTGGGCCAAAGTCCCCCAGTTGGCTCCATAGCCAAGCTGGGATTAGAACCCAGGTCACCTGAGTCCCAGTCCCGTGCTCTTAACCACTACACCATACTGGCCCTCAGATATGGCAACCCTATCAATGAGACCCAAGCCACCAGGACCCAGTTCATATGATCCTCCCTTTCTTTCTACGTGCGATGGCAAAGTGAGATCACATCCTCTCACCCCACCCTCTGGGTGCACCTTTCCAAATTCTGTCAATGCTTCTCATCTCTATGTATGTAAAACACCTGAATATGATGCACACCTGTAATAATCAACATGTATAGGCCTCAAATCAGCTTGGCTTCCATTATCTGCAAATTAACTATATGATTTGGAACTATATGCATATGTGTACAACCTATTCAAACATGAGACCTGCATACGGCTGATTGAGGGTAGTCAGAAGTGGAGTATATACCCCAAGAAGCACAGAGGGAAAGCACAGTCTTACTCCTGTCACCACATGCAGATAAGGTAACGGACAACATCCAAAAAAGCACCAGAGTCATGAGTAGCACAGATTCTGCTCTTGCTGCCACAGAGGGTTACACCTTTCCCTTTGGAATAAAATGCAGGCACTGATTTACACAAAAATCAAGTGTTCAGGAATTACAATGGGATGGAAGTTCAACATACTTTGCAATTGACACAGCCCCATACGTCATATGTATAGTCCCCTACTGACCACACTAAACTGCACTG